GTGTTTGCATGCTTGATTCAAACCAACTGGAGATTTATTGAACTGGAAAGGAATTAAGAGCTGGGATATTCCCCCCCTTCCCCCGCTAGAAGACATAGTCTAGATCAGTGTTTCTCAACCTTGGCAACTTTACCATGTGTGGACTTCAACTCCCAAAATTCTTCAGCTAGCAACACTAGCTGGAGAATTCTGGGAGCTGAAGTCCACACATCGTAAAGTTGCCAAAGTTGAGAAACACTAGTCTAGATATTCCTAATTGTGTGCTAGGAAAACAGGCTTAAGAAACCAGGTGGCCTCTTCCATAGTTGGAGGCAGGGAAAGTGCCTGTCTCTAAATCTTGCTGCTTTTCCTCATTCCTAACTGCAGATTAAAGAAAGCCAAACTTCTGTTATTATTCAAATGGTGACGCCAACCTTTGCCTGTTTTGCCTGCAAGACAAAAGGTTAATTTAATCTACAGATGCTTCACAAATATTACAAACAAAACTGATCACAGCATGAGCGATAAAAAGTGCACTTTGGCTGTAGTGATGCCTGCCCTCTGGAATAAGGTTCCCCCTGCCCCCAAATCCAGTTGGCTTTCACTCTGCTGTTGATCAGATGGGCTGTAAGATCTGGTCCTTCACCTGATCCTTTGGCGAAAGAGAGAGACCAGTTGCTTCCTCGTGCTTGCCATCTTTTATTTATATTGATTTTATTGGCAATTTTTAATGTCTGATTGTTGTGAGTCATATAATTGTTCAGTTCATGCAGCATACAGGTTGAATAAAGTGTTAAATCAATAAGCTATAATTCCACTATTAATTTAACGCCAATTATTTCAGAGGATTTACTTTAGGCGGGGCTCAACCTAGATCCAACATTGTGTGAAGATGAAACAAGTATATTTTATTTTAGTGTCTGATGTTTATAATCATATAACGAGATAGAGCATTTAAACTTTTTCAGATTTTTCACAATTCTTTCTTGAGCACCTTGTAAGAAGTCAAAAGATGTGGAACTGACACAAACCAGGGGGTTGAACAATGCTTTTCAACCTTTTCACAGATTGTACCACTTTTAGGATATGGCAATAGTCAAGCACACTGGTCGCCTAGCAACTTTGATGACCTCCCCCCCAAAAAGGAAAAAAGTGATAAAGTACAGGTAGTCCTCAACTGACAACAGTTCACTTACGTGACTATTCAAAGTTACTACGACACTGAAAAAAGTGACTTATGACCATTTTTCGCACTTAAGACCACAGGTTGAAAAGCACTGGACTAGAAGACCTCCATAATCCCTTCTTACTCTGTTATTCTGTATCCCTTTCTTGTGAAAAGATTTGCTACTGATCCCCATTGAACTCCCCATTAGGAGTTGTTGTCCAACATATCTGGCAGTTGCAACTCACGGACAGACGGATTAAGTGTTACAAAATGCAGGAAAGACCAACGTAAGAATGAACGCTCTTCCATTCTCTGGGGCTTCAGCTACAGAAGGACAAGTCTCTCTCTTCAGCTCATAAACCGTCATTACATGTACGATTTCTTACATGAAGCACATTTCATGTTAAATCCTAATCAGGAGCACTTTGAAGGACTGAACCCATTTCAACTTGTTAAAGATAATGTCTTCTCTGAGGTCTTGGAAACGAGAGAGAGGTAGCATCTCCCGGCTTCTTTCTGACTGTTGAACTTCCCCGTCTAACCAGATAGTCTTGTTTTCCTCCCAAGTATTAAGAAGGTCCACTAATTCTGCTTCATCAAAATCATCCAAATTCACTCACTGCTGCCACCTTATCTTAAACCTTCGTTTCCAATAAATACAGGCAGCACGAACGTCCATAGAATATGGTAAAAAAAAAGTCAAGAAGGTGGCCGTGGATGCTGTAATCGAAGCTCCGCCAGTTGTTTGTGCACAATGCACATAAAAACCAGGCAGAGCTTTGACTGCATTGAGATGGCACCATCTTGATATTTTTTTTTTACACATACTCTGCAGATATATCTCTCTGTACGCTATAGAGAGAGAAAGGAGGAAGCATCTCCAAAAGATCTCCAGGGATTCAAGAATCAATCACAGAAAGCCATAATACAACCAATGCAGTCTTCCAATGGCACATGCAGGTTTTGTTACTGGTTTTAACTCTAGAAGAACAAACTTGCCAGCTATTACAATATTCTAAAATACACAATACAGTAGACGGGGCATTTCATATAGAATTCCAGGTCACAAAAGAGTTACACAATTGTTCGCCCCAGAATCCTTTAAGTAACTAGGACATTCCCTGAAATTCAGTGCAATCAATTCCCTAAACCATTCAAGTTCCTTCTTTCCGACTGTCATTCACACTAAAAATAAATATTAGAATTCACTACAAGCTCACTAAGATCTATTGTTTGAACAAACGGAGAATAATCTAGAGCACAATTCATCTCAATGCAGGATGGAACTGGCATCAGTTAACATAAGAGAAAAAAATTCTAAAATTTGGATTTTCACTTCTTTGGGTACATGGAGTGAAAAATAGTTTTCCTCTAGTAGTAACTGCAAGTGCCAAGAACAAGGGCAGTAGAAATACTCATTGAGTCTTACCTTGCAACTTTCATAGGCGAGGGGATCATTGGGAAGTCTACGGCAAATTTGCGAGTGTTCAAACAGTGACTGCCATCCCATTTCTGACAATTCACAAAAGAGTTCCCACAGTGTGTGGGACCAATCACAAAACCACCATTTACCAATCAGTGAACTGGTGTGACCCTCATTTTTCTTGCCTTCTACCAACCTCCCTCTATCACTGTTCACTCTCTGGAGAGGCCACAGTTACAAACGATACACTCAGGCCCTGCTTCATTTTATGTTCTAAGGACACTTTGAGGCATTTTCAAAATAAAGATAGGACCGAAGCTGGTGTTTTATGGGAAATCACTTTAGATGACTCTCTGCTTTAAATTAGAAAACCCAACAACTATATTAAAATCTGGGAAGGCAGGCGGTCTGGTGGACACCAAGGGAGCTAGCTGTCTGCAAGCACAAGATATTCTCATTGATTTCCTCAGTAACTTCACATCTCCTTTGCTTCCTCTACCTTAGTTTAGCCAGAAAATGAAACAGTTCATGATTCCAGAAATCCCCTCTCTGTGGTTTTCGTATTCATGGTTTTAGAATGAGAAGAAATCAGGAGGAAACTGGTAACACCTTTTCTGACTAACAATTTTAACTAAAAGGTGCTAAGCTTTTGTAATAAGCCTTTTTAATCAAATGTGTTAGAAAAAAGGCTTCCAGGCTTCTGTTGTTTGGTCACTGTAGACTAGCACTACAAAAGCAATGAAAGGAAACCAAAGTGGTCAGTGCAGATAAAAGTTGTCAGCACACTTTTCTAACAGAAAAAAAAAACAAAAACAATTCCAGATCAGAATCTAGAATTTAGAAACAACTGGTCTGGTTCACACTAAGTTAAAAACCTGCCTGTAACCCTTAATTTTGTTCCTAGGATGATTATCCATGTCATAATTCAAAAGGAAACTAAATTATGTGGTGTTATGTGTTAATCAGGCTCTTGCAAATACTTACAGGGAGCACCATCTTGCCTGCACTTACAATAAGATGCTGCCCTGAAAATAAACCCAATGAAACAAAGACATTTTCTCCTGCTTAACCAAACTCAGGATTCTTTCTATGCGATCAGGTAGTGTCCTTTTTAAGCAGAACATGCTATCTTGGTCTACAGAATGTCTTCACTTCTTTCAAAAATTGAGGAGGGGGGAAGCCTCCATCTTATAAGTTAAGCATGTCTTCCCATTCTTACACTCAGTAAAAAAGGATCAATTACAATCTTTTCACTGAGACTTTATTATTAAAAGTACCATCTTACTGACTTCACCCCGCCCAACAGTTTTGAAGTTATTCAAGTATTCAAAAAAAGCAATAAAAGCAACACAGCACAAAGGTATTACGCAAAATTATGCACAGATTTCAGCTTTCTCCAGTAAAATCTATCAAGCTTGGCTCATTCTTTGCTTGCCCATTTCCCAAATTGCCATACTTTGCATCCATATGAATGGACACTATAAGAATATAAGAATTTATAAGAATAAAAATCTTTAATTATATTCCAAAGAACTTTGAAAGGCTGAAAGTTAGCTGTAATCATTTCTCAGAGCATTAGGAAACCTCCAAATAAATCTTCCAATTTAATCTGTGTAGCTGAAAGATATTTATTCATGTTCCTTTAGAAATTATTTCTAATAAAAGCAGTGATTTTAAATGCCTAAATTCAATGGTCTATTCCTTGATAAAATCCAGCTTTTTCTCTCTTTTTGGCAGTGGGATAGTCGGGCCTTTTTTTATTCATCAGGAAGGTGGGAACCATTGTTGCTCCTACTGCTGCTTGCAAGAAATTCCAAAAGTTCTGATTAAAATCCACAAGTGTTTCTAGGCCAGTTGCACCAACCCAATTTGGTCAGCCTTGGGTCTTTGGGAACCCATGCACAACCAAAGAGGAAACAACTCCTGTGTTAGGAAAGCATATTCTTCCCTGGAGCCCTCTTAAGACCTCACCAGCCCAGCCCAAGCTTCACGGGCGGGATCCCGGGTATACCTCTGCGGGGCTAGATCCGCTCCAGCCAGCCCCGGAAGGGGGACCCGTATACACAAATGCACCCCTCCCCGAGGGGGCTGCTGGCCCACCCGGGAAGCCTAAAATCCAGAGATCCATAATCGCGCCTGGGAACCGCTTTTGTCCCCCACGGCCGGTTCTACCATCCACCCTCGGGATCCCGCCGTGTCCCACCAAGGATGCCTGAAGAAGCCAAGTGAGGGACCATAAGGCACGCCCAGGACGCCTAAGGAACGCCTGCCGAGTCCCATCATGCCTGCCTAAGTTAGCCTAGCCAGGTCCCATAATCCACAGCCGCCCAGCCCGCCTCAGGAACAGCCGGGGGGTCGCCCCACCCCCGCCCGGGAAGAGAGGCGGCTGCGGGCCTGCCGCCCCCCGGAGGTCCCGCGCTCCCCGCTGACCTCGCGCACGTCCTGCAGGCACTCGAGGACGGCCAGGTTGTTGGCCCAGCTGTGCTTGGGGCAGACGCGCATCACGTCTTCGCGGCACACCGGCTCTTCCGCCAGCTTCCAGCCGCCGCCGGAGGAGCCAGCGCGGGACACCCGCCCGCCACCGCCGCCCACGGCCGGCCCGAGCTGAGGCGCCTGCTGCTGCTGCTGCTGCCCTCCTTGCGGCTGGGCCCCCAGTCCGGGCTGCCCCTGCGGCTGCCCCTGCGGCGGGAAGGCGGCGGCTGCGGCCCCGGCCGGCTGTGCCCGCGCCGGCCCGAGGGCCACGAGGGGGAGGAGGAGGAGGAGGAGGAAGAGCAGAGGGCCCGGCCCGCGGCGGCCCCGGGCCCCGACACGTCCGCACGGCGCCATCTTGGATGCGACTCCTTCGCTTGGGCGGCCCCGCCCACCGCGACGCCGCGAGAGACACGCCCCCGCGTCCTGCGCGCGGCGCCGGCGGCGCCAGGGGGACGGAGCCGGCCGTTTCGAGAGGGCGGGGCGCGCCGCCCCCGTCGCCGGGGCAACCGCGGAGGCCGCGGAGAAGTTTCTCCCGCCTCGCGCGCAGGCGCGCCGCCGCCTCCTCTTTGTGAGCTGTCAGTGCAACGCAACGGGCAACGTTTTACCGTCGCCTGTTTGAGATAACAATGGAACAGCAAAGCTCGGTTGCATTCTGTAAGCTCTCTGGCTACCGGTTGCGTCAAGCCGTCCTTTAACCATGGTTTCTGATGGAAGATGTTGTTTGCAGATCACAGTGGTTAGGTTCGCCTGAAGCCGAAGGGGAGCGGGGGGGGGGGGAAACACTTGGGACTCTTTCAGCCTGAAGTGCATTGCACGTTACTAAGCGTTTCGAAGGCTGTCAGTGTTGTCTTGTGTCCATAATTGTACTGGCTGGGTCAATTATAGTGGAGAAAGCTGAGATTTCTTTTTTCCCTTGTTTCTGCAGGGAAATTAGGCTGTTTCCTCTGAGTTAACCCTAAATTTTTTTATATAATTTTCTGCTTCTCCTTAAAACATGCTTTCTTCAGGGTCGACTATTAATATTCAGCACAGTAGAATTTCTGGAAGCCCTGAGGCTGCAAAATTTGAGTCCAGTGGCATTTATTATGTATGAATTCACTGAAAGAAGACGGCACTGGAATTTGGCAGCCAATAAATTTAAATAAATAAGAAATAGTAATCATTCTTTTACATATATCAGGCAATATTTCATGGAGATTTCTCCTCCATATAAATTCTTCAACTCTTGGTGAGATTTGCATTCTAAGTGCAGCTCTTCCCTCATTCGAAGGCTAATAGGATTTCTTTACTCCGTAAATATTTGAGAAATGATGATCTTCTATCTAAAGCTCTTCCCAGAATTTATATATTTATAAACTGGTTTTTCTCCCTACAGAGCAACCTTGTTGGATGCCTCATCTGACCGTTAGAACAATCAATCAGTAGAACAACCTGCCTCCAGAAGTTGTGAATGTTCCAACATTGGAAGTTTTTAGGAAGAGACTGGACAGCCATTGGTCTGAAAGGGTTTCCTGCCTGAGCAGGGGGTTGGACTAGAAGACCTATCTCCAAGATCCCTTCCAACTCTATTATTATTGTTGTTGTTGTTACTATTATTATTGAATAATAATAATGATGATGATGATGATGCTTTTCTTTCTCCCATGTACAATTTGGCCTGGATTTTAAACAAGTTCCATTTCTGCAGCCCAATACTCAACATGAATTTTTGCCACTTGATACGTGGTTCTTTCAAATACAGCACTTGGCTTGGCTGGTCTTATCTGCTGGACGCTGCAATGAAAAAGGATCTGGCCTTAAAAAAGCAAGAGAAAAAATAAAAAGCAGATCTGGAAATAACCCAACTGTACTATTTGGAAAATGAGAGAACACCTAAGTGTCTCTTCCCTTTTAGCATATCCAGTAGTCAGAGCCAACAGAATCTGCTCCGGGAAAACATGTGATTATGGTTTGTTACATTTGGCATTTTTATCTCTCTTTCGAGTCCTTCCCAAGGACCTGTTGTTTGATGGGATCATCGCAGGGTGCAAGTTGTTCTGAGAAAAGCTGCCTTTTGCAATTGACTGATGGGGATTTTATCAATGCTGATGGTGTTGAAGCTCCTGAGATGTTGAGATTGCACCCAAGGCACTTTTAGTATTGGTTCTATCTTTAGGCTTTCTTTTGCCACTGTCATCCCACTTCTATTTGCAGATTTATTATTAACTGGAGGATGGGACAATTCATTCTTCACGTTAAATCTCACCTTTTCTCCTGAAGCTCAAAGGCCCTTCCTTCCATCTTCCCTCACAACAAGCATGCAAAGTAGGATGGACAAAGTCGATCAGAAATAGTTCAGCTAAAGGTGAGACACTCTTATCATTGGCATTGTTTGACCAAGATAAAAATGAATCCATTTATAATTTTACTGTATAATTTTATTGTATAATTGTATAAACAGGCATAGAATCAAAATCACGTGAAGTATTAGTACTGCTTTATAAAGCCTTAGTAGGACCACGCCTGGAATACTGCATCCAGTTTTGGTTCTCATATTACAAAAAAGATGTTGAGACTTTGGAAAAAGTACAAAGAAGAGCAACTAAGATGATTAAAGACCTGGAGATTAAAACATGAAGAACGGTTCCAGGATTTGGGTTTGGCTAGTCTAGAGAAAAGGACTAGGGGGGACATGAGAGCAGTATTCCATTATTTGAGGGCCTGCCACAAAGAAGAGGGGGGGGTCAACCTATTCTCCAAAGCACCAGAGGGCAGAACAAGAAATGATGGATGGAAACTAATCAAGGAGTGAAGCAACCTGGAATTAAGGAGAAACTTCCTAACAGTGAGAACAATTAACCAGTGGAACGGCTTGCCTTCAGAGGTTGTGGGTGCTCCATCAGTTGAACTTTTAAAGAAGAGACTGGGCAGCTGCTTGTCTGAGATGGTATAGGTTCTCCTGCTTGAGCAAGGGGTTGGACTAGAAGACCTCCAAGGTCCCTTCCAGCTCTATTCTTGTAATACTCCAGTATGGACATGAGACTATGGTCTGAGGTCGACCATTTTTTAATTTCTTGGAATATATTCTAATTTATTTCTGGAGTTCAAGGAGCTCGGTTTGATTCAAAATCAGCCAGGAAGTTTCTATGCATAAGCATAAACTTGAATCCACAATAGTCCAACACCTTTAGCCCTATGTACAGTCACATCTTGGAAAGTCAGCTTGATCAGAACGGAAAGGGAAAATATGTTCCTTTCACAAATAACCCCAGGCAGGACTTGGAAATGTTCCCAGTTTTACATAATTGTAAAGAAACATTAAAATGGTGGTGGAAAAACAAATATACAAGGCACCCTTGACAGTTCTAGAAGCAAAGGGAAAAAAACCAGAACTGAGCTAAACCTTATTCCTGCTTTCCTTCACTGCTAGCTTAAGATAGGATCTACTGCAGAGAGGAAAGTTCATGGCCTGGAAGCAGAAAGACAATTAGGGGTAGCTTTCCAAATGTTGCTACATCTTTTCATGAATATGCAATGTTGCTTTGTACACATCTTACCCTATCAATATATTATTCCCAAACACTGAACTACAGGGAGTTCTCGACTTATGACCACAACAACTGAGCCCAACGTTTCTACTGTTAAGCGAGACAGTTGCTAAGTGAGTTTTGCCCCATTTTACGACCTTTCTTGCCACAGTTTTTAAGTGAATTTCTGCAAGTTATTAAGTTAGTCACACATTTTGTTAAGTGAAGCTGTTTTCCCTGATTGACCTTGCTTGTCAAAAGGTCACAAAAGGTGATCAGATGACCTCAGGACAGGGCAACTTTCATAAATACATGCCAGTTGCCAAATATCTGGATTTTGATCACATGATCGCGTGAATGCTGCAACGGTCATATGTGTGAAAAATGGTCACACAAATGTTGTTGAAACTTTGGTCACTAAAGGAACTCTTATAAGTTGAGGATTACCTGTATAAAGGTAAAGCATTTCTCTGTCAACTCTCCACCCCAAAGCTGCAGTTTAAGCATGAAAGCTGAGCAGCCCTCAAATTACCAAGAATATAATACACTGCACATAGTCACACAATCTTCCCGAATAACATCCCGACTCCAGTCTACACTGCAAACAAGCTTCAAAGAAACAAACAATAAGCAGATTTCACTGTAAAAGGAAACGGCTCATTATTGCCACACACCCCCAAACCGTTCAAATTCTAAAGCAAACACTCCATTTAAAAGCCACCAATATACAAATACCTAAAATACAAAACCACACATTCTCTGAACACCGCACCAACGAAAACAACCGGCTCCAATGCACTCTCAAATCATTAAGTTGCAATGCAAGCACATCACTCCTCAAAAAAGGTGTATTAAACAAAAACAGTGGTAAACATAGTACTTCTTCCTCCAAATTTAGACTACCGTGTAATTCCCATAGCCGCCATCACCGTGGGAAGAATAAGAGAAAACACAGAAATCAAGAAAACTTTTCATTCAGTGATGGCCATAGAAATAGAGAAGGCAAAGATCTGGTGAAAAAGTGATATACAAAAGAAACAGTGCAAATTATGCTGCAGAACTGTACATAAAGCATCCCCAAATTACCGATACATACAGAGTTTTGATCATAGAACTACTGTCAGACAATCTGGGAGGATATTGCTAAATGAGAAACATTGCTAATAGCAAAGCTTCGTATTCTGGTTGTAAATCACTTTTTTCAATGCTGTTGTAACCGGTCACTAAATGAACTGTTGTTAAGTCAAGGACTACTTGTCTGTTGAAAGACTAGCGCGTCGTGCCGTCAGTTACATTTACCCTGTAATCAGATAGGCGGTATCTCTAACAGAACTAATAGCCTAAATTCCACACATAATTCTTTTAAAAATATCAGGTGTTTCAAACATTGAAATTGAAGGTGAGCTTTAGACGTTATCTGTTGCATAGACAGGATACTCAAAATACCTTATAAATGCTTTATAAAGAAGTATCTTTATTATACAGAAACTTGTATTTTCAACGCAATTGCAATTCTGGCGTATGTCACAAACTTACCTATGTGTACATTATAGTGAACGTGTACTTTAATATAAAGCGACTTGCTCACTTAAAAGCAGAACTGCTCTTTCTATATTCTAGAGATTCCCACAACGTAACAGTTTATTCCAACACGTTTCATTAAAAAATTAACTATATTTTCACCTTAGGTAAGGTATAAACATTCACAGTTGAAAAGAGTTACCTTACAAATTCCATCTTGCTAGTTGTCAACAAATAATTGAGGAAATATTCCCAGAACCCATATATATTAATTTACCACACAGAAGAATTCCTGTTCTGAGATCAGGGACAAAGGGACAAAGATCTTTTAAGATGCATACTCCCCTTCCCTTTCTTAGCACTTAAAGCTATTTGAATAGCATAACAATGAAGTGTTTTGCCCATTGGAGAAAACCACTGATTTTAAAGTTTGTTTCACAATTGCAAGTTTTTAAAAAATTACATAACAGGACAATTAGACATACTTACAAGTTACAATATTTCAGTTTCAGAATGTTGTTCTGAGGTTTGTACTGCCATGCACAGTATAGGCAGTGCAAAAAGCTTCAATTTCTACAGTTTTCAGGTAAAAAAAAAAAAGTTTCCGGATGAGTCTTGCAGTATATACACCCTAGTATTTGCTTTGTGAAAGCCAGCAATCAAAATATGGTATAATTCAGAGCAGAAAACGGACCACCAGTGCACTTAAGAAAAGCCAAGCGAAACTTTTTCCCCTGCAAACAGAGTTAATCAAGTTCTGAAGTGACTTTACTTTTCAATTTTGCAACTGTCTTAACATTGGGAGATTGGCAGGAGGGCTCCTAAATCATGGTTTCCACCCAAACAGTTAAGCTTGTAGGTTAAGTCATTGAATCTCCCCAAACTGCATTCAAAATGCATGTTAGCAGCCAGTTTAGGCAGAATTTGCGATCACCTTTTTCCGTGTCTTCCCTCATGATCAGAAAACATTTTGCTAGAATAGTTCACTGCAGAAAAGTGAATTCAAGTAGACCAAAAATAGGGACATACAAACTGCTGTTTTGCTTTGTACATGGTAGGCTAGGGCTCTACTAGTACCAGCATTATGAAGTTCTAGGTCAGTGTGGAGCAGGGCTAATTAAGGTAGTTTTAGCAAGCACCAATGATTAATTTCCAGAAAATGGCAGCCACGTTTCTTCCTCACTTCCTCCCAGAGTAATGCAACCATTACAAGATTTGTTGCATGACTGAAACCACTGTCTTCATTGAAAATAATAATAATAGATTGGGGGAAACAGGGATAAAAGATGAGCAGAGATGAAGCAAATAAATTACCCCGAAGAACAGATCTAAGGTGGCTCAGAAATAATCCTGTCTTCAAGACAGCCAACATCCAATTAGCAGCAAAGCCTCTGCTCAGGGATCAGGCTGGGAAGGCGAGAGAGACGCTCACTGCCACTTGTAGATTTTCACCATCTTCTCGGTCAAAGTAGCAAGGAAGTTGTTGCGATTCACCTCAAAAGGACAGACATCCAACACAGGGAGATCAGCTGGCAGTTTCTGGAGCAGAGTCCCGCTTCCTGCATCCCAGAGCTTCAGGATGAAAAAAGCCATAATTCACCCCATGTCTCACTGGGCAAGACATGGTTCCACAAACTGCAATGTTTTACAGGAATTGCCACTTCCTAATAAAGCTACCCTCCTTTCCTGTCCCCTGATAAATGGTTTTTAGAAGAGTTCAGACTAGAGCAATAAAGACCAAATAAAACAGAAAAAACTAGCGACTAGCCTCCCTCCCTTCTCACTTCTCATAAAGAGCACTGCATGTGAGTTCATCATTTTCCTCCCCGTCTCCTATCTCTAAGGAAATAAATACAGAGGCCAGGCAGCTCTAGTCCCAGCTCAGGGTTCTGCTACACAAGAGGCTTTCTAGTGGCATGGATGTATATTGTGGCAATTGCAACACACTTATACCCTCACTCCATCACTCCATGCTTTTTGTGACTTACAGTTGTGGAAGAAGAAAAACAATCAATATCTAAGACTACCAGCAAAAGGCAAACTTGTTATCCAAAATTAAGACCATACCATGGCAGACTTTGATGCTTCATCCCCCGCACACACAAGGACGCTGCCGTCATCTTCAGGACTTTGAAAAATGGCATTTTTGGTTAAGAGTTTGCACGTTGGACCCGCAGTAAGAGTTTGAATGGGGTTGCACGAACAGACCATTTCATCATCTCTGTCTGTCAGCCGACTAGATGTCAGCTCCATCACCACACACTGCAAACAGTTGTTGTTTCTGTCTGTGAAAGGATGAAATTGAAAAAAGTTACAAAGTCGGAAAGTATCCACACGCAACACTGCAGAAGCATTTAAATGAGATTCCTGGTTGGTGGATGTTTTGACTTCCTTAAGATGCTGCTTGTCTGCACACTGAGATCATTGCTTTATTCTACTCTGAATGCTACACAAGCGGTGTTAGTAACAATCTCTGTAAGTTTGCTTGCAAAGCAGGATTCCAAACTGGGGCAAAAGAGAAAGTCAGATTTAGCACAAAGCTCTGTCTCTACTGGAGCTGTAATTCTTAACGCTTCCAGGCAGTGAGACAGACATATTGACAGGGGATTCTGGGACTGTGGAAGAGGAGGCGATTGTGGCTGTGTCTGAGGTGGAAGCAATGGCCATGCGGACAAAAGGAGAGCTCAGGCTATGACCCAGGCACGCACATTACATGAACTCTGAAATGAGTCTCTCCTCCATCTTCAAATCTTTTTTAACTGACTAAGAGGAGGCAGCCAGAATAGTACTACCAGCAGTGAACTGCAGTCCAAAGTCATCCTCCTCTTTATAAGTAACAGAACCCACCATGAACAAATAGTGTAAAGAGGGAGGTTACACCATCTGGTTAAATGAAAAGGGAGAAAAACAGAATGCTCTCCTGGGGAGGATTCTATGCATCCGCTGGGCCAATCCTAACCCTGAGCAAAAATATCCATGGATGACAACTTACTGGGCCTGAATGTTGCAAGGCAGTGCCGTGTGTTGGCTTCTGTCTGAAGGTCAATGCAACCTCCGGATTCAAGGAGGAGATCGTGAGGTCGGTAGGAATTGCTAGACTTCTGCTCCCAAAAACAGGCTCCTTCCAGCGTTCCAGACACCAGTCCACCATATGGTAGTGAGGTTGAAGCCATTCGAGGAAGATAAGATAAGGATACCACAGGACACCTGATGGGGCGTCAAAAAAAAAAAAAAAAACAGCAAAATCAGTATTACCAGGCCATTCTCTCTGGTTCCCTACTCATCCTAAAATGAAAATCTTTATAGGAACGTTTAAAAATGATTTCAAAGAGGGATGAAAACTAGAAACCATCTGACTTAATACAAATGTTGTTAAGACTGAAATCCTCTGCTTACTTCAGATTAAGCATTACTAAACATTGTAGAGATAAGGGTGACTTGATTCACATTACTCACAACTGCTCAGAATTGCCACAAGATGCATTAATGCAGTACTACTACAAGCAGGATAAATGTCCTCCCCAACTGTATCCTCACTGTATTCTTGCCAATTCCCTCCCATGAGAATGTAATCTGAGCAGTGACTTAAGAAGTGGAAATGCATCTATGGCAAGATTACTTCTGACATTAGCTCATCTGAGGCCCTTTGCTCTCATCAGTTGGGAGTTTATATCCAGCAAGGAGTTTATATCCTGTATCCAAGTCTTCCAAGTAATTCTTTGCCAACAAACATGTTCCTAGCCTACAGCATGAAGGATTTTTCAAATAATACACAGCCGTAGAAATGAACTTATCACAGAGATATTTTAAAATCTTCCATGGTCTCAGTTTAGTGTTTGGAAAGCAAAGTTATCTTATGAAACCCCTACCTGGACCTCGGTGGAGCCAGTTCCTGGACGTGGGTGTTTGTGTCCCGCAGATCATAGACTAGGACAGATCCATTAGCCAGCCCTGCATAGACGTAGTTTGTGTCGTCAAGACACCAGCAGCAGCCCCAGATGGGGCGGCTAGTATTATAGGTCTGTACAACAGTGTTTGTGGTTAAGCTGAGAGAAAAGGGGAGAAGAACTTCTCAGTATTCTGCGCCCATTCCTACCCTGTGCCTCTTCCCTTGGCCCGTTACTCTTCAACAGCAATAATGGCTATCATACAGGCTAGGAGACCATTTCCCAAAAAAGACCACAGGCCAATTCCGAGCCATGCAGGGAAAAGCCTCTTCACTACCAGTAGAATCATAGGGCTGGAAGGGAGCCTGAAGGTCTTCTAGTGTCTAACCCCCTGCCCAAGATAGGAGTCCTTATACTATCCTGGAGAAATGACTGCCCTTTTTTTTTTCTTAAAAACCTCCATTGATGGAGCACCACAACTCCAGGAGACAAGCGATTCCACTGACTAATTGTTCTCACTGCCAGGAAATTCCTCCTTATTTCCAGGTTGGGTCTCTCTCTGACGAGCATCCACCCTTTCCTTCTTGTCTTGCCCTCAGGTGCTGTGAAGAATACAACAACCTCCTCTTCCCCTGTGACCACCCTCCACTATTAGAAGACGGCAATCAGGCTTCCCCTCAGCCTTCTCTTCATTAAGCTAAGCGTACTTAGTTCTTCATACGATTTAGCCTCCAGACCTCTTATCATCTTTGTTGCTCTTCTCTGCACACTTTCTACAGTATCAGCATCTTTTTTTGTACTGTGGTAACCCAAACCGGACGCAGTATCCCAAGAGTGACCTCCCTAGTGCAGTATACTGCTATCACTTCACGCAGTCTTGAAACTGGAAAATACTTCAGCTGTGACCTACCAGGACACCTAGATACTGCCCCACGCGCTTGCGGCCTAAATAAGCCCTTCCCGAAAGTAAGACCTTCTGCTTATTTCAGCACCCAAAAGACAGGGTCTTACTTTTGGGGAAACGCGGTACTCACCTTGTGAGCCTGAGCGAGTTGTCCAAAGAAGCAGATAAGAGCAAACCATCCGCCCGGTTGCTGAAGGCCAGGCTCCGGATCTGCTTGCTGTGGATGGGGACATACTGGTTGCTCTTCAGGTTGATAGCGCTCATCATCTTAATTCCATAACCTCAGACGAGAAAAGGCCAGTTAGCAGAATCCTCCCTTCCCTCATTTGGTTAAGGCAGCCGCCAGGCATTCCCACCTCTCTTTCTAGCCCCAACGCCTCGCTTTAGCTACCGACTCACCAGGAAGGAGAGTCCTTTGCGGAGAGGGCTGCGAGATCACAAGGCAGCTCAGGGGCTCACAGTAGGCCATCACCCGGCAGTTGCCCATCTGAGAGACCAGGAAGGCTTTCTCAAAATGGTACTTGTGCTGACCCTGGCTGGGGGAGAGGCAGCCGGGAAAGCAAGAGCCAGCACTGCTGGACGGCTGAGAGGAGGCGCTGGCGCCGTGCCGGACCAGCAAAGCCTTCAGCTCCTGCAGAAGGGAAGGCAGAAGGGAGTGTTAAGCCGAGCCCAGAGAGCCGGCTGCCTCTGCCTCAGTTTTTCTCAACCTTGCCCAACTTTAACTCCCAAATTCTCCAGCCAGCATTCTGGGAGCTGAAGTTCACACATCTTACGGGTGGCAAGGTTGAGAAATGCAGTTCGACATAAAGGGCATGGTTAGGCAATGAGAGGGCTATCTAAGCCCCTCCAGACATTTTTAAGATCAATTCTCAGAAACCCCATCCACTTAATATAGACTAGGTTTGTGGAAATTGCAGCCCAGGGCTTCAAGGCACTCAATTTAACAAATCTTCCAAGTTCAGAAAAAAAAAGACGTGTAGCCTAAGAGAATATTAGGAGATCAAGGTTTAGAGTGAATGGACTGAAACAGATCACGGTTAAAGGAATCCATTTCCCCCCCAGCTCAAATCCAACAAATCTAATATTATTCAAAATGTGTCAGTGAACCATCCCCCCAATTAAACAATCGTTTGCCTAAATTCAACTTCTGAAAGAACGAAAAAGAAAACGCTTCCTTGCATTCCTCTGCCTTCTCCCTCTGACCCCAGCTAAGATCAAGAATCCCCAAGCTTTCTGGATAGCTACGCTTTGTGAATTTCCAGATGGATCACTTCTTCCTATTTCCTCAACTTCCATTTAAAAAATAGTTGCAAATTACCAATTTAAAACATAGTCTTCTTTTTTTCCCCACAAGAATAAATTCCAGATAAGTAAAGGGTAATATATTTTATAGATCTCTTATTTTTTAATGATCCAACTTAAAGGAGGGAGGGGTTTTTTTGTTTTTTGTTTTTGCCTAGTCAGGGAAACCCTAAACAAAGGAGAGTAATTTTGTTAAGCTATAGATGAACTTTCTTCATTAGTTAGACTGTTTGGGGCCAGCAGTTGTAAATGTTAATGGATCATATTTATGACCATTACTGTGTTCCAAGGTCACCTTTTGTGACCTTCTGACAAGCAAAGACAATGGGGAGGATTCAGCTAACAACCTTGTTATTAACATTTAACTACAATGACTCACTTAACAACTGAGGCAAGAAAGGTCATAAAATGGGGCAAAGCCCACTTAACAATAGAAATTTTGGGCTGTTGTGGTCATTAGTCCAGGACTACCTGAATGACTGCAGTTAACCTTACCTGTACTTGCTGCTTCAGTTTGCTACACTCTACCGTCATGACCTGCAGCTGAAGGCGACTCTGTGCTGATTCCAGTTCTACTTTCCTTCGCAGAACTTGTTCCTTTTCTAAAGAGCTACGACAAAAAAAGGGACAGATCTGGTTAGAATTTTGGATGGGAGATCCCCAAGAATTCCCAGGCTGTAGACTGGACTGAAAAACTGAGAAAACATCACAGAAGGAGGCACTGACACATTATTTTCCTATGGATTCCAAGATGACAAAGTCCCAGATCTCACGGCCTCAGGCATCCAAAGCCATTCGGTCTTGCCAGGGCTCAGTCAAAGCCTGGTATCCCCCATCTAGGCCCCTAAAGCAGTGTTTCTCAACCTTGACAGCAATGCTGGCTGTGGAATTCTGGGAGTTGAAGTCCACATGAAGTCCACATCCAAAATTGTCAAGGTTGAGAAACACTGCCCTAAAGCCTCATTGAAACACAAAGAAACCGTCTGAGGGAGGCTGCGCTGATCTATTCTGTACACAACACATTTCAATAAAACATTCTTTTGGCCTGATCTTTGACAATAAATGTACAGTACAGTTTCACATAGGAGATGAAGGTAAACTAGCATCCATACCTTTTCATGTTTTCCTGTTCAGTGGTGTCCAGTGCTTTCAGAGTACGGGCATAAAGGACAACAATATCTGAGCGTTTGGCTTTCTTATTGCACTAAAACAAAACACAAAATGAAAGTGAGTCACTTTTTGGCAAATAATCTATTGCTCAGTTATGGAGGTTTGGAGTAAGAACACAGAATCAAGTTGTATGTTTACTTATCATCAGGGTAGCAGTTCTATATTTTTCTTTACGTTCCTGGATGTCCTCCTGTGTGCTACTCATATAACATCCTTCAGAATGGAACTTTTGTTATTGTGCCAACTCTACCTATTAGTGACTAATTGGTCACAGGATTCAGGCCTTGAGAGGAGGGCTTGGGGATATGGCTGCCACCCCAATGCATTTTTTCTTTATTTGGGCTCTTTTAAACGACTTTCTTAAATTTACCAAGTAAGAACCTTATGTTAACTTTGCTTGTCAAAAGATTGCAAAAAGTGATAGCATGACCTTGGGACACAGGAATGGCCATAAATATAAACAAGTTGCCAAGCATCTGAATTTTGATCCCATGATCATGGGGATGCTACAAAGATTGTAACTGTGAAAAAAATGGTCATAAGTCACCTTTTTAGTGTAACTTTGAATGATCACTAAATGAACTGTTGTAAGTCAAGGACTACCCGTATTTAAAAATGTAAAAAAATAGCTGAAGCCAAAATATTCTAACACATGTAGAATGTACCAGTAGCTGAGCTAAGACTAAAACTGTTGTTTCACTTGGCAAAAGTCACTTAAAAACCCTGAAACTGCTCTCCTTAACTTTTTATTGCAAAGTCTTTCTTGCTAAAAGACTTTTACCTGGGGGCATTTGCCCACTTGGCCCTTCAGCCACCTCTGAATGCAGCTGTAGCCAAAGAGGTGCCCACAGCGCAGTGCAGCGAGACGATGCTCCCCAGCATTGGTCCATTCTTCGAAACAGATGGCACAGGTATCCCCACTTTCCTCTTCCAAAGGAACTAGAGAGGCCACCGGATTGCTTTTCTTTAATGGAGTTGTCTGGAAAAAAGAAAATACGGAAGGTAGCTCAAGTAAATGAAGGCCCGGGTATTCAACTTCACCTTCTCTCACCTTCTTTGGCTGGGAAGCAGTGACTCTAGAATCAGGATGCTCTATCTCATTAGAATTATCTCCAGGAGGCTCCATTTGATTTGAGACAATTACTAAAAGGAAAAACAAAGGAAAGCAAAACTTGTCTATATGAAAGTGCAGACCTACCAATAAGACATTTCAATTTTAAAGAAGAGACAAAAAGAATCAGCAAGTTATTTTCATATAATTCAAAACCACAAAAAACTCAGGCATAAGCATATAGAATTCAAGACAGACTCAATCAGACTATTTTACATCCAAGTTACATACAAATATACAAATTAGTAACAGATCGTCACTGCACAGAAAAGGCAATGCCAGACACAAAATAAGCTGTCTTTGCCTAAGACTTTTAATCTTAGCTCAGCCAATTTCTTAGAATTCCTGGATACAAAATATGATCCATCCTATGCAACAGGAGATTTAAAGCAAGAGCGACATTTATTAGGTTTGGTCAAAACAGTCAAGATGGCATCCACAGCAGACTAATCAAAGTTCTACCTGTTTTTAATGTGCAACGTGAGCAGAGCTTCAATTATGCCATTGCAGCCACCGTTGATTGTTTGAACACATCCTGTGGGCTGAATAAATAGACTGAAGCTCATGAAAATGTCACACAAATAAACAGATTACTCTGATCAGTGATGGGCAAGGTGTCCTGAGTCATTTACATATATTTAGATTTCCAAAGATGTACAAACAATGCAAACCTTCCAAGCCAATTAGAGGTATTTCCTCTAAGCTTCTTGCTGGTTCCTCGTCGTCCTCCGTGAGGTTGCTGCTGTCACCGCTACTCTCAGAGTCACTTAGGACCACGGTTTCATCTGAGCTACTGTCATTGTGGATTACTAGAAGTGACGGTTCTGTTCGCTGGGTCCTATTGACCTGGAAATAACTGTCCAATGATGCTGTGGATCTAATCAACCATGCAAATGTGTATTAGTGTGATATCAGGCGCCTCTCTTTGGATTCTAACCCCCTCGCAAAATGTGAGATAAAGTATCTTCCTGATCTCAGCGACTGAGCCGTGCAGACTCCAACTCCCAGAATTCCCCAGCCAGCCCAAAAGAGGCCTTGACGCGCTTGGACTCCAACTCCCAGAATTCCCCACACCTTAAAATAGCCGAGATCGAGAAGGGCGATGAAGTAGCAGTCCCATCCCAAAACCCAACTGCGGAATTACGCGTTCAACCCCCGAAGTCACCCACGGAGCGTTCCCGGGGCTCGGCCTGCCGCTTCCTCCGGGGGCGTCTCCGTAGGCCCGGCTAGCCCGCCGAGGATCCGTTGGGTGGGGACGGGAAGGCCGCCGCCAGGCGGGGGGCAGTGCGTGGGGCCCGCTGCCGCTCACCTGGCGCGGGCTGCCCGTTGGGAGGACGACGACGAGGAGGAGGCGGCGGAGGAGGAAGGCGCTGCCCGAGGCAGGCCGGCCTGGTTCCTCCGGGAGCGGCGCGGCCTTCGCGATTGCGCAACCAAGGCGTCCCGAGAGGAGCGGGCACCCGCCGGACGGCGCCCCGAGGCTCCGTCGCGATCGGCCGCTGCTGACAGCTCCCGCTCGGCGGCCTCGGCCACGGGCGGCAGATCCACCTCCATGGCCTCCTGCGCCATCGGCCTCCCTCAGAGGAGCCCCGCCACGCACGCGCCGGCCAGCCGCTCAATCTCCCCGCCTCCTGCCAGCGGGGCCCCCATTGGCCCCTAGGAGGCGCGCGAAGGCACGGTTTGATTTCTATTGGATGATAGCCTAAACACAGAGACGCTGCATTGGCTCCCTCGACTGCCACTCTTCTGGGCAGGCAGGGAGCGTAGAGGGGATGGGAAAGGAAGGGGGCTTGGAGGACGCGCATGCGCATTTTCAAGGCCGACCAGGAACGGGTCGGCGGCTGCTGCGGTTAAAAAAAAAAAAAAACGGGTTTTCAGCCTGAGATGCGGAAGTTGCGTTTGCGCGATTCAGATCTTTTGGGCATGAAACGCACCACTAGAATTAAAAAAAAAAAAAAAGAGACACTGGAAATACGGCAGCATTAGGGGGGGAAACTGCCAGTTTCAAACAGCAACACTGAATTATTAGGGCATTATAAGACAGAAGACATTAGAGAATAACGGGTAACGGGACTGTTATTTTATAGTAGTGAAGGAAGACACACACACACACACACACACACACCCAGACAGAAGAAGTCTGGAGGCAGGAAGAAAATTTAATCACAACAGTTTAAATCTTTCCAAAGTAAAAATAAGCCCTCCCCAAAAAAGAATTAATTAAATGACGAGTCCTTTTTAAATTAAAACAAACACTCTGTCTCGCTCATTTTCAGAACCCACAACCTCAAGACAACCCAAGTGCAAACAAACAGCTGCACAACTTGAACAAACATTGAAGATAACCACAGGAATGCAGGACCGGCTACCGGCAATTAAGACTGACAGGATTAGAATAGAAACACAGAAAAATACATAAAATTGTTTAAGTGTTGTAGAAACATTTGTGAAGATAAAAATATTTGAAGCTGCACTTTGGTTTTGCAGCAAGCTAGGTGTCGATTTCTTTTAACTGAAAGAGCATAAAAATAAATACCACGAGATGGGGCATCTATTTGCTGACTGCCATTGGCAAAAGAGTATTGGGGAGGGGGTTTCAAGAAAATAGGGGGGGTTGTCCAAATGTGACTGAATTGGGCAGTTACAAAGAGTTAGGGAAAACAGAAGTCAGTCATTTTATTTCAGTCATTGACCACCAAAACAAAACAAAAGAGTCACAATTGATTAGAGTAAAACAAGCCATAAAATCATCTTCTATGTACTACTAACACTCCCGTCTGTAACCTTTAGCTGGGTGAAATTGCATAACAGGGCAAAACCTAACGAACCAGGTACCTCAAATGGACTAACTTGTAGAATGCATCCAAAATCTGGCAGGGCCATAATTCCTGTGGAACTGAAATTTGGCAAATTTCATAAAATATTTGATGACATAAAACTTTCATAAAGCACATTGTGACATAATACAAAATATCATAAGACGTTTCCTGTGGTCCACTACCGATGTTTGACTGAGCTAGGCTGTTCAAGACGGGCTACTTTCAAAGCAGAGACACCTTTGAATGTTCCCCAACTTTTGCAGTGAAGGCAGGACATTAGAAATTCTATCATTATTGCAGGCTTTGAGGAACCTGCTAAGGGAATATCTCTGAAAGGATGACCCAAGGGTTGTCTAGTAATGTAACAATACAAGTAAAATTGCCTGTTGAAGTTAGGAATTTGGGATGTATAAATTAATATAGTAACATACAATACAATTTATACCAGGCAGCTAAATGGTTGTAATAGCAAAAATGCCAATTTAAAATATAGAGAACTGTTAAAATTAAAACCGTGGAAAAGCTGTGATTAATTATATAACCAGAGAAAATGTAGTGATGTAAGGTATAATGGAGAATACACAAGGAATTGTTTTGGTTTCAAAACTAAAAGTTAGAGCCCAGTTATAGTACAGGGAGTCCCCACTTGGGGACCATCTGAAGTTACCACAAACCCTCCAACTACTTACAATCTGATTTTGCAGTCCAAAAGCACAATCGCACACACACACACATACCATATGATCACATTTTTGCTGCTTGACAATACATCTGTAGCCGTTTGTAGTGTCCTGAGATCACGTGACTGCAGGTTTCCAGCATTTATTTCGGGTTGACAACAAATGCTCATTGGATATAATGGATTCATTTGCTTAACAACGGTCGCACAAAAAGTTGTAAAATCAGGCACAGTGACACGGTGACTCATTGAACAACCACAACTTACGACCTTGCTTCTGGGTTCATTTATGATCATAGGTCGAGTCCATCCAGTCCAGTTTGGTCTACTGCATTATCTCGCTGCTGACATCCACAGCTGGAGGAAATGAATGGAAACACTGGCGAGCACAGCTGCACTTCTGACTTGCATGGCTGTCAGACCTGCCACCTCTCTGCCAGTCTGCCCTGAACCGGGGGGGGGGCTGGAATGGAGGGTGAGGGCCTGGGGGAAAAGGAAACTGAACTGGGAGGACCCTTCTCTGTGAGAACCAAGGAAATCTTCCAGTCCCTGGGAGAAGAATGCCAACCCATAGAGTGACTGTTTCCAAAACATTTCTTTTAAACTGGATTGGACAATGAGAGACACACAATGGAAAGGGGACAAGGGAGGAAAGTTAGCTGGCAAAAGTTTGGCATGAACTCTCCGTTCTGGCTTTACACGAGTGTAATTCACTCGGCTTCTAGTAAACTACACCTTTCTCAACCAATGGACTTAAAGGAGCGTTTTTACTTAGAAGTCCAGGTTGAGGCAGGTCTGACATTGGCATTCAACATCTGGGGGAGAGGGGCTCCTTATTTGCTACCCCAACCCCCCCCCCCACACACACACACATTTTGCAGAGCCAATAGAAGGTTTGGGTTATTGGCCAAGCTGCCTAGTGGTTCAAAGATCAAGCTGAGCCAAAGAATATTGAAACGTGGAAAAAAAGAGAGAAGATTCAGGGGATAGAAGACACCTTCCACGATCACTGACTTCCACTCATGAAATCAAATTGTTACTGCTGTCATCCTGGTCGATGAGGAGCTGGTTCACAATAACTGCAAGAAAATATATCAGTTTTCAGAAACATTGCTACCTCAGTTTTGTAGCTCAAACTTCGAGACACAGGGGCATCCGTCTGATTAATACTCTAAATATGTATCAATTCCATCTTTGCTAGCATCAGGGCTGCCGTTCTGCTGAGCTACGCATTGCAAGCTGACAGCCTACATCAGTGACGGGGGAGGGAGCAGTGGGGGAAGGGATGTAGGGAAGGAACCTGGATGAATCGAAACCAAGCTGCCCCAATCGGGAAGCACCAACCGTCTCAAAGTAACACCAAAAGAATGAGGAACCGATGAACACACAAAGACAACTGTTTCCCATACAATCTGTTAACACTTAATTGGGCCTTGACTAATAAACAGGGGGCTAGCTGGGAACAAGGGGAAGTTAACCATATCTTTAGCACACAAAAATTTCAGATCCAGCTTTGCTTCTTCTGTAACCACTTTGGCTTTAGTAAAGTACAGGTACTCCTTGAGACTTCATTTAAGGACCGTTCCAAGTTACAAAAGCACAGAAAAAAATCACTTATGACCGTTTTTCACTCTTGCAACTACTGCAGCATTCCCATGGTCACGTGATCAAAATTCAGACACTTGGCCACTGAGTCATATTTGTGATGGTTGCAGTGTCCCAGGTGTCACGTGTCACCTTTTGTGACCTTCTGACAAAACTCATTTCATAAATGTCTCACTTGGCAACAGAAATTTTGGGCTCAATTGTGGTCATAAGTCAAGGACTACCTGTATACTTTTGGCTAAACATGGACCAGGAATCCTTCTTTTCTGACCGTTGACAGCTAGTGAGATAAGGAAGGGTGAGCATGGAGGAGTACTTATGTTTAGATTCATCTCTCCCCAAGTGCCTCAATATTGGTGCGCCATTTAGTGTTGTGTTATATATAAAACTAGCTATAGGTTATGCCTCAAACCATAGCTAAAAGCAAATGATGGCTTACTGAAATTTGTGAACCCAACCATGTAGCCAAACGCCTGATGCTTTCTCATACCTTCAGTAGTTGGGCGCTTGGAAGGTTCATAACTCCGACACTGGTTGATGATTTTCTGTAAATAGGGTGGACAATCTTCTCCTAAAGGCTCCTGTACCTTTTTCTTATAAACCTTATTATAGATTTCTTGAGAGTTGCAACCTAGAATCCCAACCAGAGAGGTGACAAGAATTCACATAGACGTACGTACATATGGCTTGCCTCCAGAAATTGTGGGTGTTCCATCACTGGAGATTTTCAAGAAAAAACATGGGCCATGGTGGTCACTTTTGGGACAACCATGACTTGGATGATTCAGAATCTCCAGAAACATTTTATTGCTGCCTTCTACCCTTTCTACTTGGATTTTTCATTTCCAAGACTTCAGTAATGTCAGTAGATTTTGTTGGCCACACTGGAGAGATCTTTGTAAAGGTGAAATAATTAGGGGGAGGGTGTGTGCTTAAGCAATGTCCGGCTGATCATCTTCTGCGATCATCCCTCCTAGGCTGTGTTGAAAGAGGGATCTTTCCTGACTGTTACAAAGATGGGCCAGACCTGCCCAAGAGGAAAAAGAGCAGCAGATGTGGAAGAGAGACAAGCGGGAAAGCAATGAATCACCCCAAACTGTAGCTAGCTGGTCTTTGTCTCCTCAGATAAAAAGGAAGCTCTAGGATCCTCTGTGCAGATTTACAAAATCCAACTTCCTCAACCCAAGATCTGGGAAAGTCCTTGACCCAGGTTTCACTTCTATAGGCTCTTGATTCAAAACGCATCCATTTTAGGAGCCTCCAACGCAGCCAGTCTGAGCTGCTCTGGAACCGATGCCATGTCCCTGGACCTCTGCTTGTGCTCAGTCTCCAACCGCTGAGCTGGGCTAAGACCACAGCAAGAGGAAGGGTCTCAGCATTGACCAGGGCCGGGGGCAAGGGAGCAGTTTCCCTTAGCAAGACCCCTTATCTCATCCTCCCTGCAAGCCACTCTGCTTTCCCTCTTTCCTGCTGATGGGGAAGTAGGCCACAGCACGGAGGCTTCCACCCGTCATCAGAAAGACCAATCTTGAGTACTGCTCAAAGGGTAAGGCAGCTTAAGAGGCTTCAGAGCAGAGTTTCTCAAGCTGGGCAACTTTAAGATGTGTGAACTTCAACTATCCCCACATTTCAACTTCAAGCGGGGTGGACCTCATGGATGGCTGGAGAATTCTGGAACTGAAGTCAACCCCCGTCTTAAAGTTGTCAAGGTTAAGAAACACTGCTTTGTGGGAATGCCATGAGAAACAGCCCCGACATTAGAGAAGGATTAGGGGTGACATGATAACTGTCTTCCAGTATTTGAGGGACTGTCACAGAGAAGAGGAGATTGATTTATTCTCCAAAGCATCTGAGGGCAGGACAAGAAGTAAGGGGTGGAAGATCATTAAATGGAGATCCAACCTAGAATTAAGGAGGAACTTCCTGACTATGGAAGCAATTAAACAGTAGAACAGCTTGCCTCCCAACCTTGGGTGCTCCATCACTGGAGGTTTTCAAGAAAATATTGGACTACCATTTGTCCAGACCTCCCCCACAGAAGACCACAGCCCTCACCTGTAAAGGGGAGCTTCCCAGTTGCGATCTCCCACAGCACGATCCCGAAGCTGGAAGAAAGGAATGCAGCAGCAGCTGTCACACAAGGAAGGAGAGAGCTGGCAGCTCCTTCCTGCCATTATCAAGAATGGGGATGGTCCATCTGAGTATGCCCTGCTGGGCTGAGGACACCTTGGCCAGATGCGCACAATACTATTCAGTCTCCAGCCAAACAAACCACATCATGATTCTACTGAAGGCTTTTATGGTTTTCATATTTTGCAAAGCTAGCTAGCAGTGGCTTTTTCAATAAACCATGGCTAAGCAAACTATTAATGTGTTGCGTAGATGGAGCCACTGTGGGATTCGTGGCCCATGGCCCCACCTTGAATGACACCAAGGGTGTGTCATGGCATTTTGTCCTCTATGACTTATGAACTATAACCTATTATCTGCTGTTTGTATGTACACTGTGAGCTTATGCACTGCAGATACATTCCTTGTGTGTCCGATCACATTTGGCCAATGAAGAATTCTATCCTATCCTATCCTATCCTATCCTATCCTATGTTGTGCATACACAGATATTGGAATGTAGCCAAGTCATGGTTAAAAAAATTTAGTAGGACATCTGAACTCTGTCACTTCCTCCTTTCATAGTTGCTCACTTAAGGGAATCTCCAGAAAGGAACTGGGGGAGATTTGATGCCACAAAAATTACAGACATCTCTTCTCAAAGGGGTCCCTGGAGAGATGTGCCTCAGCAGGGAGGGGCACATATTGCCATAGATCCCTGATTGTGTGCTTCCTGGCTGTCATGCACACATACTTAACCTTGAATTAACCCATTTTCACAATACTGTGAATTCCAAACAAATGGAAAAGGCTAAACCGCATAGAAACATGCATACGCCGGCAATCCTAATCCAATTTAAAATTAATCAAGTTTAACAGGACATAGCAAGGCAGAATTCGGTCTGAAACTGACCCCGTTACACCTAGGCCATTCTGAGCTCCAGACAACAATGTGTTGACCCAAAGCTGCGAAGAGGCAGAGAGGTGGTGGCCCAGCAGGACACATACCTGTATATTTCGCTAGCCAAGTTGTATGGATGATGTAAAGAGGCCAGGCCCTCTGGACAGATGTAGGCTAAAGAAGAGACCTCCCTGGAGACTTTGCCCTTGCTTTTTCGACTGATGGACGACTCTGTTTGGTCCAGTTTAAATCCTGACAACTGAATGGAATGGAGAGAAAGTGAGTTCTCTGCAGCCTGTTTGGAAGTGCATCGACAGCGAATGGAGTTGTGAACAGGCAGTCCCTGTAATTCTGGCATTCACACCCCCCCTAGAGATTCTTCTAAAATCATCCCCGTTCTTATGCCTCCCCACAATAGCACAATGAGGTCTTATTTCACTTCAGTAATGGCTGGGTAATGCTAGGAAGATACTCCCTCAAACACAACACAACTTCCCAAGGGCGGGTTTACATAGGTTTTACTCCCATTTTCTCCAACATAATCTCACTGAAGAGAAATTCGAGCCTGCTCTTACAGTTCCACAATAATTAGGCTTTTGTGGTCATTGCCTTTAAGACACAGTTTAAGTGAATCACTATAGTTGTTTAGTTAGTAACACAGTTGTTAAGTGAACCTTAATGTTTTCCCCATTGACTCTTTGTTTGTCAGAAGGTCGCAAAAGGGGATCACATGACCCAGGGATACTGCGACCCTCATAAATGTGAGTAAGTTGCCAAGCATCCGAATTTTGATCACATGACCACGGAGATGCTGCAACGGTAACCATCCTAAGTCACTTTTTTCAGTGCTGTTGTAACTTTCAAACGGTCATTAAATGAACTGTTGTAACTCAAGGACTACCTTTATAGCATAGAAACGCTACATGCAGACCTCACCTTTATGCAGTAGCCCTTGGCAACCAAGAATTTGGAACTGTTGATGCAACAATGCAGTTGGCATTTGTCTCCTGTGTGGTGCAACCTGCAGCCAACAAAAAGGAAGAACTTCATCTGGTTCTTACATATAGTTTATAGCAATAGCAACAGCACTTAGACTTATATGCACTTCACAGTGCTTTGCAACCCTCTTTCAGCGGTTTACAGAGTCAGCCTATGGCCTCCAACAATCTGGGTCCTCATTTGACCGACCTTGGAAGGATGGAAGGCTGTCAACCTTGAGCCAATCAGGATTGAACTCCTGGCGGTCGGCAGAATCAGCCTGCAATACTACATTCTAACCACTGGGCCACCAGGGCTCTTAGGGGCAAGACTGGTGGAGTCCAGGAAAAGAGCCTTTTCTGCTGTGTCCCCCACCTCTGGAACATTCTCCCATCAGAGGTGAGATCTGCCCCCACATTCCTGGACTTCCAGAAGAGCCTAAAACATGGCCCCACAACAAGGGCCTCCTGCATTGGGCCTGGCTGACAGGGCAGAGAAGATCCTTAACCCCCAGGCTGCACATCATCTTAGTTCTTAATGTTTAATCTTTTTATTCTAATTTTAATTGTTTTAAAGCACTTTTTAACTTTTTGTTATGTTGTAAACTGCCCAGAGTTGCTGTATTAGTGAGATGGGTAGCACTGAATTTTAACAAATAACTTAATTTAGTAAATTTAATAAATAAATAATATTTCTCCCCGCCAGCCACACACACCTGTACAGCCCAGCGGCCGCATCCGAAGCCATGTCGCTGCGAACCTTCCAGGGCAGGTCCTGTTCTTTTCTCAACACTTCCCTCAGGGTGCCTTTTTCACAGAACTCGGTGACGATGGAGAACTGGGGGACCAGCCCTGAAGGAACAACGATCCTCCATGAGTAGATGCTACCCCTGGGAGTCTTTCCCACTTAGCTCCATCCCTCAATCTATGAGATCCTCAGTCATCCAAGTCATGCTTATCCCAAAGATGCTTTTTCACGAGGCAACTGGTTGTAAGTCGAGGATTACACAGCTGGCTGGGGAATTCTGGGAGATGAAGTCCACCCTTCTTCAAGTTGCTAACTCGGAAAAACAGCAAGTTGGAATGAAAATACACACATCTTGCTGATGTGCAAGAACAGGTTTTGGGCAAAAAACTATCTGTGGCTGTGTTAACCTCCTTGCTGGAAGAGCTGAGGCTAAACGGTGGTGCCCATAAGAGCCTGCCCCTTGCGTTCGGACCCCCGCCCAAAGCTTTCCACAATCTGTTGAAGAGCTGGGTCTGAAAAGCCGGCAATAAACCTTGCAATTCTGCTAATATGGATAGATGGCATCACTAGAAAGAGTACAGAGAAGAGCAACAAAGATGATTAGGGGACTGGAGGCTAAAGCATATAAGGAAAGACTGCTGGAATTGGGTATGTCTAGTTTAATGAAGTGAAGGACTAGAGGTGACATGATAGCAGTGTTCCAATATCTAAGGGGCTGCCACAAAGAAGAGGGAAACAAGTTATTCTCCAAAGCACCTGAAGGCAAGACAAGAAGCAATAGATGGAAACTAATCAAGGAGAGAAGCAACCTAGAACTAAGGAGAAACTTCCTGACAGTTAAACAATTAACCAGTGGAACAACCTGCCTCCAGAAACGGTGAATGCTCCAACACTGGAAGTTTTTAAGAAGAGACTGGACAGCCATTTGTCTGTAATGGTATAGGGTTTCCTGCCTGAGCAGGGGTTTGGACCAGATGACCTCCAAGATCCCTTCCAACATTATTATTATTATTATTACAGCCTCTCCTCACGTCCCCTTTTCTGCAGAAAATCCCTCCCCTTCCTCTGCACAAAGAGACTTCGTGACTTGGTTGCATCAGTCCTCGGCATATATCCATTCGTTTAGCGACTATTTGAAGTCACAACAGTGCTGGAAAAAAGTGACTTATTATGACCATTTTTCACACCTACAACCATTGCGGCATCCCCACGGTCAGGTGATTTACATTGGGACGCTTGACAACTGGCTCATATTTATGACGGTCGCTGTGTCCCCTGGGGTCACGTGATCGCCTTTTGCGACCTTCTGACAAGAAAAGCCAACGGGGGAAGCCAGGTTCACTTAACAACTGGCAAAAAAGATGGCAAAATCCAGCATGGCTCACTTAAAAAAGCAATGGAAATTCGGGCCCCGGTGGTGGTCCTAAGCCGAGGACAACCTGAATCCATCCCGCTTAGCCGCTTCTCAAAATCCAAGGCCAGCCCCCACCGGTCTTACCGCTTTCGTCAATGCAGATCCCGTACAAGCGCACGATGTAGGACGACTCCAGCCGCTTCAGCGTCCTGACCTCCTCCTCAAAGATCTGCCTCACCTTCCTGGGAGAAAGTGAGCACGGTCAGTCTTTTGCAGGAGCCGCTGGCCTGGCCCCCAAGTCCCACCCAAGGAGAGGGAAGGATTTCCAATGATGAGGTAGAGATATACCAGGGCTAGGCCACCTTGGCTCTTTTATGACTGGTGGACTTCGACTCCCAGAATTCCTGAGCCAGCCATGCTGAGGGGAGAGGGAGAGGTTTCCCAGCTGAGCCATGCTGGCTGGGAGGTGAAGTCCACCAGTCATAAAAGAGCCAAGGTGACCTACCCCGGAGATACACTTTTAATTCAGAGCTGTAATGGACCACAGCAGCGTTATTATGATGGTTAGCTGAGCTTTCCTTCCACCACCACCCCTGCTGCACCTGATTTCTGAAAGCAAGGAAAAGCATAGTAAAGGAGAAGAGAAAATGGCTACATTTTCATCAGTTGTCAAAGCGGGAACGTCCCATGTTAGTAGCGTTGACATTAACCACCTCAAATTGACTGTTGAGAAAGACAGCTTTCCCCAACTTCAATGGGCCAAGGATAAAAGAGGGAGGTGGGAACAGGAGGGATAAATGATGGGAAAAGAAGAAAGTGGACATAGCAGCTGGAGGAAAAAGTTGGCTTAACGTTTTGACCTGAATAGAAGGTTCTCCCACCATTCCCACAATCATCCTTCACTCACTTTGTGTTGATGGTCACAGGGTTTTTGAAGACTTTGATGGCCACCGGACTCCTGTAATATTCTCCTTTGTACAGGATGTGATCTTTCATCTCCAACAGAAAGGTCATCTTTGTTAAAAAGTGCTTGTTTATCTCTGTGATTTCTGTGTGAGCTTCTTCCTGCTGCCCTGGAAACAGGATTGAATAGAACAAAAAGAGGGGGAAAAATGAAACTAAGATCTTGCATTTTTCAGTCACAAAAATAAAAACAGCCCAAGGGAGAGAGGGACTTTCCAGCAGCCTCTGAAGAACGAGGCAAAAATGATCAAAATGGTGGCTGAGACAGGATGACTGAATCTCTGCATGTTTTTATGTGCATCGCATTATCCAACTGTAAGCCACTCAGAGTCACCTTAAGCCGTGAAATGGGTGGCAAAAATGTCTGGAGTGTGGACCTGGCAGTACCTGGAGACAGCAGAAGAGAAGAGAAAGAACTGGAGAAGATAACAAAATACAAAGACCTGCAAATAGAAATAGCACAACTGTGGTGAAAGCAAGCAAAGGTAGCACCAATAGTAATAGGTGCCTTGGATGCAATCCCAAAACATTTGGAGCCCCCTTGAGCACCATCGGTACTGACAAAACCAGTCAACTGCAAAAGGGTTTTGCTTGAACAGCTGACACCCTGTAAGGATATCTCTAACATCATCAAACATCCATTTCAGACTATCCCAGGTCCCTGGGAAGGACTCGGTGGACAAAATGCCAAATCCAGTCTGAACATCTGGCTGTCTGTTTAACAAACCATAATAATAACAACCCAATTACACACATATCTGGATACTGGTGTAAAAACTGGAAGGAAAAAGGCAAGACGCAAAGGTGTTTTCTTTCAACAGGCAACCGGACTTTCTTGTTTAGCTTGAAGATATTTCGCTTCTTATCCAAGGAGCTTCTTCAGTTCTGACCAAATGGTGGAGAATGGAAGGATTTATGTGCCTTGCAGTCATCTGGTCGTTAGTACTCTTTCTGAGAGCTGTGGAAGCCATTTGGACGTTTATCTGTGTCCTCACGGTCACCTGACTCCTGTGGTCTGTGATTTTTTTCTGGAAATCCATCTGAAGGGTGTTCATCCCAAAATGCATCGCTAAAGGTTATGGAGATTCTCAGTCATCCAAGGTCCTGATTGTCCCAAAGGCCCTTTTTCAGGAAACAACTGGACTTTCTTGTTTTTGCTTGAAGACGTTTGGCCTCTCATCTAAGAAGCTTCTTCAGTGCTGGGTGACTGCAAGGAATATAAATCCTTCCATCCTCCCCCATTCAGTCAGAACTGAAGAACTGCATAAGAAGCAAAATGTCTTCAAGCAAAACAAAGGAAGTCCAGCTGCATTTTGAAAAGCACCTTTGGAACAACCATGAGCCTGGATGACTGAGAATTTCCCTAGAAAAGAAAAAGGCAAGGCAGAATTTTTCTACCTGACACTATTTTTATTGGGAAATGGTGCAAAATACCTTCTGTCGTTCTGCTTTTAGATTTCCTCTTGTAGGTTTTGGTGTGCTGGGTTGTCTCTGTGGAGAGGTTCCTTCCATCCATCCATAGTGCTAGATGAAAAAAAAAGTCTTTCCTTTTCCCTTCCAGTTTTCGTAGCAGCATCTAGACGTGTTTGTGTGATTGGCAGCCAGTTGCCTAATAGCGGCAATATTCATGTTCTGCATGTTGAATGCAGTCACGCATTTCAGGCCTGGGTCATCTTCTCTCCATGGTAGGGAATCGTGATGGCCTCTTTTGAAGACAGAGAGAAGCTGATAAGATCTCAAAATACCAGGAAATGATACTGCTGACTGTTGTCGTGATGCAACAATCTGAATACAAAGGCTGGAAGGTCATGAAAATAGGGGCCTTCTCCAACTTTAATTTGTGGCCCCAAAAGCATATTTAGATGTGTAAGACTGGAGGCTTTTAAGAAGAGACTAGAATCTAAACAGTCACATCTGAGATGGTATAGGTTCTCCTGCTTGAGCAGGGGGCTGGACTAGAAGACCTCCAAGGTTCTATTCTATTCTATTCTATTCTATTCTATTCTATTCTATTCTATTCTATTCTATTCTATTCTATTCTATTCTATTCTATCCTATCCTATCCTATCCTATCCTATCCTATCCCGCATTCTATTCTATTCTATTCTATTCTATTCTATTCTATTCTATTCTATTCTATTCTATTCTATTCTACTGGCACTTCCAGAAGAAGACAGAACATAGGGCAGCTTTCCCTGGTGAGAATCCCACAGAGGAACCAAACTCCAGAATTCCCACTCTGCATGAGTTAGCATCTTATCTCCCATTGAAGATGCCTCCCCAAGCCCTTTATGTAGCTGGGATGGCTTTTCCTGACTCTAATTGCTTAGAAACATTTGGAACGTATTAGAGAGAGCAAGAGAGATCCTCCATCCCATTTTTCAAAGGAAGGCTATTTCAGCAAAAGACAGCCCCACCTTTGGCCATCTCCATCCAACAAACTTTGTCTTCCGCTAGATCTTGGCAGCATTCCTTGCTCACCACACACTTCTCAAAGCTTACTAGCACCTTCTGCTCCACCTGCAGCTGCAGCAAAAGTCCTTGGCCCATGTCACCAAAGCGCTCGTTCAGAGCCGCAAACTCTTCCAGCATCTCACCAGCCTTCATAAACCTCTCCAGCATGTTATGGCTATTGTGCTTCTCAAAAAGCTCCTGGGCTTCAAGCAAAAGGTCCAACATGTTCTGCAGCATCCATTTCAGACTGGAGGACAGGTTGCTGATGGACTGAGCCTGGAGGAGCTCAATAGGTCTCAGGAGGGTCTCCATGCGCTTGACAAGGCGTTCTTTCTGCTTCTTGCAGTACTTCATCTGCTGATATTGACCGTAGATGATTTTCGCAACGGCTAGAATGCGCTCCACGATGTCCATGGCTGCAAGGACAACCCCATGAACAAAGCATGACTCAACTAGAATGGGTCCTTCATCTAACTCTGTTATAGTAGACAACTTGCGACAGACCACAAGTTGTTTCTTGAAGCCTGTCCTATTTCATTATTGGGAATCCTAAGCAACAAACCATGAGAATCGTAGTTCTACAATTCAGGGAGGAGGCACTCAGGCCCTCCACGGAACTACACTGAGCAAGCTTCTTTGGCAAGAGTAAACCGCCATCCCCATTGAGATTCCCAGTCATCCAGGTCATGGTTGGACAGGTTTGCACTACTCAGGTGACCTTGAGGACACAGATAAATCTCCAAGTGGCCTCAACGGCTCTCTCAAAGAAGGCAAATGACCAGCCGTCTGCAAGGAATATAAATCCCTCCATTCCCCATCCTCCAGTCAGAGCTGAAGAAGCTTCTTGGATGAGAAGCGAAAAGCCTTCAAAGAAAAACAAGAAAATCCAGTTGCCTCCTGAAAAAGCACCTTTGGGACAGCCATGACCTGGATGACGGAGAATCTCGGTAGACATGTAACCATTTGGTTTGAGTAAAAGCATTCTTTTCACTACGAATGGAGTTGAGAGTCCTGCTTTCCTAGAAGACCAAGCTGGGGCAAGGCTGCCCTCCATATTAATGCCAAGAAAACTTCCAGACGAAGAAGATAGTAAGAATTGAAGTCAGCTTGAAGTATAGCCTACTTTGGCATAGCATGGGATGCAAGGATAGCAATATAACTCTATCTTGGGGCAAGTGGCTTCCATGAAAAGTCTAATACAGGATGTGAGCAGGTCCTCTCCAGCTCTTCTCTACTCAGTTCCTCCCCAACTAACAATTTTTGTAAGTTCAATCTGGCCTCAACAAGTTAAAACTGTGTGAGATGTCTCCCTCGCGGGTCCCCTCAGCTCTAGAAGCATCATCTTTTCTTTCTTTCTTTCTCCCTCCACCTCAACTTACCTCATGTCTCTAAGATAGCTTCTCCTCGTCTGGGTTCAAAAGGTGCTTTCAAACCTTCAACAAAAGTCCTGCAGTTCCTCTTTTCCAGATGTTGGCTTCTACTTCCTGGCAAAGAGTGACGAAAGGGGTTGTGCAAGTTGGGAAACCCTGTGTGCTGCTTAAGCTGTAAAAAGAGTTTCAGTTTCTGAAAATACTCCAAGCTCAGAAGACTTGTTAAAAATCTGGGATGAATGATTTAATTTTTATCCTGCTTTTGTTACTTGATAAGGGTTGCAAACATACCTAATATTCCTTCCTCCGACTATTTCCCCCACAATAACAATCCTGTGAGGTAGATTGGGCTGAGAGAGAGCCTGGTTCAAAATCACCCAACTGGTTTTCTTAGCTAAGAAGGGATTAGTACCTTCACCACTACACCCAAATGGCTCCCACTTATGGTTTGTCACACAGCCAGATGTTTAAACTGGATTTAACATTTTTTATCCATCTATCCAGTCCTTCCTAAGGATCTGGAGTAGGCAGATGTTGTTCGATGATGTTAAAGGTATCACAGGATGTAAACTGTTTCCAGTAAAGCTGCCTTTTGCAATTGACAGGTGACTTTGTCAACGTTGATGGTATTCAAGTGGTGCTCCAGATGTTTTAGAATTGCAGTCAAGGTGCCTATCACTATTGATACTGTCTTTGCTTTCTTTTGCCAAAGTCATTCTACGTCTATTGTCTCTGTAATTTGTTCTCTTCTCTAGTTCATTCTCTTCTCTTCTGCTGTCTCCAAGTAGTGCCCTGTTCACTATCCAGATTTTCTGTGTCTTTCATATCGATAATTGTTAATTGGAGTGTTTGTTATTTTTATTGCCTTAAAATGCCAGAACCTGCTACTGCTGGTTAGTAGCAGGTTAGTGACAGTGAAGCTATACACAGACGTTGGAAGTTGTTTAATAAATATTTCAGAATGTGCACGCTGACATGGGTTTGTCAAGAACAGATCATGCCAAACAAATATTATTTCATTCTTTGACAAAGTGACTAAATTGGTGAATCCGCAAAATGCTGTGGACATAGTATACTTGGATGTCAGTAAGGCATTCGACAAAGTAGACCACAACCTACTTCTTAGTAAGTTAGAAAAATGTGGGATAGACATCACTCCCAGATGGGTTTGTAACTGGCTGACTGCACTCAACAGATAATCCTTAATGGAACCACATCTGTACGGAGGTTCTCATCTCCCTCCAGCTGATGATCTTCTGTACCTCAGTCAATTTTTCTCTTCAGATCAACTGAGAAACTCCTTAACCAATAATGCAAGAATCTTTGGATCCAGCAGCAGTGATGCTTGGTAGGAGGAACAAAACCAGGGGAACCATCAGTCCTTTGAGGTAGGCTACTTCAGACATGGCAAGGATTACAGGAGTGCCACTTTACTATTATGGAGTATAATAACAGGATCTTGAAAGCCTAAAAGAGTTTTTCTCTGCCTCCTCTTATACCGGACAGAATCAAGAATCAATTCTGAGGGGATTTTTTTCCTCACACTTTCTATATACCCATGACTCATTTGTTATTTTTTTCTCCCTTTTCAGCTCCTGTATTCCTTCATCAAGCTTACTGCACTTTCCTTCCTAGAAATTCATCCATTTTCTTCCTTAAATGTTCTTGCATTAAAACTGGACAAATAGGGTGATTCACTGCTTTATTCTTCAGGCAGAAGATGGTTCGAATTCAGGGCAGAGGAAATTTAAAAGAGGGGCAGGGCACCCACCATCTAGGTGGCTTTTTTAAACCCCTTCCCTCCATCCCCTGTGGATGTCCCTGGTAGAATTTATGCACTTATATGACAATTCAAGGACTGGAAGATGGCAGGCTAAGCATGAATGTCCACAAGTTATAGTCAAAAGACCAAGATGGAGACCGGAACAGTGTGTTGAAAGCTTCAGCCATGTTTTATGTCCCTCACAAGCACATATTGTGAATTCACAGTTGTAAATTCTTCCTCTCTGCTCCCCCAGAGGACCAGAATCATAGAATCTTAGGGCTAGAGGTGATTTTGGAGGCCTTCTATCCAAGTCACTGTCCAAGGTAGGAGACTTTATACTATGGATGTCAAACTCGATTGCGTCACGTGAAGTATCATGACGTTTTTTGCCTTTGCAGAGTCGGGGTGGGCACGATGCATCCAGCCTGCAGGCTGCCAGTTTGACACCATTTCAGACAAGTGGCTGCCCAGTCTCTTCTTAAACACCTCCAGCAATGAAGCACCCACAGCTTCTGAAGGCAAAGCAGTTCCACTGATTAATTGTTCTTACTGTCAAGAAATATCTTAGTTCTAGGATAGATCTCTCCTTGATACATTTCCATCCATTACTTCTTTTCCTGCCCTCAAGTGCTTTGGAGAATAAGTTGTCCACCCTCTTCTTTGTAACAGCCCCTCAAGTACTGGGAGACAGATATTATGTCCCCCATAATCCTTTATTTATTCCTGTATATCTTCATAATTGATTTAGATATTTTCATAAACGATTTAGATGAGGGAATAGAAGGGGAACTCATCAAATTTTCAGATGACACCAAGTTGGCAGGAATTGCCAACATCCCAAAAGAAAGGCTCAAGATTCAGATGGATCTTGACATACTTCAAGACTGGGCCCTATCCAACAAAATAATTTTTTTTAAAAAATAGGGTTTTAGGGGGGGAAACCCCCAAATGTACAGGTACAGATTAAGTAAAGCCTGGCTCAATAGCAGTAAATCCGAGAGTGATCTTGGAGACCCAATGGACAATCACTTAGTATGAGCCAGCCGTGCGCGGCAGCAGTCAAAAAAGCCCATGCAATCCTAGGTTGCGTTAACAGAGAGATAGAATCAAGATCACGTGAAGTGTTAGTACTGCTTTATAAAGCCTTAGTAAGACCACACTTGGAATACTGCATCCAATTTTGGTCACATTATAAAAAAGGCTCTGGAAGTAGTGCAGAGAAGAGCAACTATGATTAGGGATCTGGAGACTAAAACATATGATGAACAGTTGCAGGCATTGGGTATGGTTAATCTAGTGAAAAGAAGGACCAGGGGTGACATGATAGCAGTCTTCCAATATTTGAAGGGCTGCCCCAAAGAAGAGGGAGTCAATCTATTCTCCAAAGCGCCTGAAGGCAGGAGAAGAAACAACGGATGGAAACTTATCAAGGAGAGAAGCAACCTAGAACTAAGGAGAAACTTCCTGACAGATAGAACCATTAATCTTTGTGGGTGCTCCATCACCGGAGGCTTTTAAGAAGAGACTGGACAGCCACCTGTCTGAAATGGTATAGCCGGGAGTTGGACTAGAAGACCTTCAAAGTCCCTTCCAATTTTGTTATTCTGTTATTATTCTGTTCCTTTCCAACACACACCTTTACTCCAGGGATATCAGCATCCCGTTTATAATTAAACAAAAATGTGTGCTTCTTAGGCTGCCTTAGATTCCGGTGGTGATAATGGACTTTGGGAGGTTTTTTTCCCACTCGTTTGAAGAAAAGCCCTGATTAAATGCTATCAATCTTAGATAAAGAACAGTCAGAGGGAGGGGCCAGTGACGCTCCTTAACTCTCTCTGTACACTAGCGCCCCTTAGTGGTCAGACAGGTCGTTCAATTTGTACATTTATGAAAGAAATTGATCCACACAATTGCCTTCACAATTAAGTTTTTTTAAACAGGAATTTTATTAAAAATCGCACCTAGCACAATAAAACCAACACAAACTAAACTAAAAAGAAAAGAAATGGAAAGTGCAGCAAAAAGGAAGTAGGAAAGAAAAAAAGAGAGAAAAAAATGAAGAAAAAGAAAACAAATAAAGAAATGACTTCCCTTTCATCACAACTGTTGTTTCACGAGTTAGCCAGTGACAAGATTTCATCTCCGGGATAGGGAGAGTGGGAAGAGGAGAAGGGCTCAGAGAATCCCGGCCTTCTGATCTGGAGATGCTCCAGAGAAGCAATCTATTTCAGGGTTCACCAACCTTGGTCACTTTAAGACGTGTGGACTTCAACTTCCAGAATTCTGGGAATTGAAGTCCGCACGTCTTAAAGTGGTCAAGGTTGGGGATTCCTGATCCTGGGGAAGAGGGACTAGCCCACGCTCCCCACTGTAAATTGGCGGGTTTGCTTTGAAGAAAACCGTTGTTTGCTTCATCTCCCATCACTGCCTCTCCAGCATTTTGGCCCCAACTCCAACCACACACACGCACAAGCTTCAAATGGTTTTTTATTGTCAAAATATACATCATCTACGTACAAGTATCTTGTGACTGTGGTTTATATACCACCATCCTTCTTTTTCTAAAATATTTATGCGGTCGACATTAGAAGAAGGAGAAGGCAAAAGGAGAGGAACTCAGCAGCATCTTTGCAACGGCTTTCATTGTAGATGAGGGATTTCAGAAAAAAACATAGAACTGTTTGTTTCCCAGGTGAGGTCAGGGTAGTTAAAGTCCCTTGGCTGTTATGACTCATGGACTTCAACTCCCAGAATTCCTGAGCCAGCCACGCTGAGGGGAAAGGGAGAGGTTTCCAAGCTGAGCCAGGCTGGCTGAGGAATTCTGGGAGTTGAAGTCCACGAGTCATGAAAGAGCCAAGGTTGCCGACCCCTGGGTTAGACAGAGTTCCTCTTTTTCCAACATCCTTCCTTTCACCCACAAAATCCAGCACCAGGAACCAGAACATCTAAGATCCAGGAGTCCGTGGCGAGTCATGTTCTCCCACAAGATCTGTTCGATGTTATATGGATAAATTCATTCATTTATATTACAAATAAATTTGGGTGCTTTGGTAGGTACAAACGTGGAAAGATTTGGCATTATCCATAATGAGGGAATAGCTGGTGAAGATGATGGAACTTGCTGAGATGGCTAAATTGATTTCCTCAATCAGAGACAAGGCATTATCTATGTTTATTGCCAACTGGAAAGCCCTTACGGCCTTTTTGTGTAAAATAGAAAAAAACTGAACTTACAATTTATGGCGTTGATGATTAGGATACATTACAGAAAAAAAGAGTTATGTTGTAACCATAGAATATGTTTTATAACCATGCTTATAACTGCTGTAAAATAGATCAGAAACTACTTCCTTGTATCTTTTTTTCTTTTACTTTTTCCCTTTTCCCGCACTTTTAGCTTCCTCTTTGATTTCTTCATTGGTCTTTTTCTCACTTTATATTAGTTTGAATTAGCTTTCATGTTCTTTCTTTCAAGAAAAATATTTAATAAAATTATAGCTAAATAAAAGGAAATAAAGCTGAGCAGGATTTCTGCTCTGACATCTGTCCCTGACTATGACGCTAAGACACAATTGGCCCTCTCCCCACTATTTGCTTCTTCACAGCTCCGGGGTATCTTAAGGCACTCCTCACCCCCCCACCACCCAGAATCCCCCAAATAAGGCCACAAAACGCAGCAGGAAAAGGAGACTCAGTTCTCTCCCCAGTCCAAGTCCAAGGGCTGCTCCAGGCTCTGCAAAGTTCCACCCAACACAGCCGCCGGGACTCTCCTTGCAGCCCAAGGGGCCAGGCAGCAACAATGGACGCTAATCGCTCTTTTCGTTTTCTTCTGGAATCAGCGTGTGGAAGGGACGGTCCCAGAATCGGCTAGAAATCCCAAAACCTGCAGGGTGCAGAGGGTGAAAAAAGAACATATGGGACAATACAGAATAACAAGAGTTGGAAGGGACCTTGGAGATCTTCTAGTCCAACCCCCTGCTCTAGCAGGAAACCCTATATCCTTTCAGACAAATGGCTGTCCAGTCTCTTCTTAAAAACTTCCTGCGCTGGAGCATTCACCGCTTCTGGAGGCAGGTCGTTCCATTGATTAATTGTCCTAACTGTCAGGAAGTTTCTCCTTTACAATTGTAAAGTGCAAGGATCCGTTGTAAGTCACTTTTTTCAATGCCATTGTAACGTCAAATGGTCACTCAACGAATAGTTGTAAGCTGAGGATTACTTATATGCCTTAGACCGTGGCTGGCCAACCACTAGGAGTTTTGAAGCCAAGAACTGCCAACTTTGGGGAACAGCATGGGAAAAACATTTCCAGCATCGAGCTCAGAACATGGTAGCAAAGTAGGAGATGGCCCATGTCTAAAAACATGACATCCTTGACCTATGACCAGAAATGAGCCCCAAATTTCCACTGCTAGGAAAGACAGTTGTTAAGTGAATTTTGCCCCATTTTACGACCTTCCTTGCCACATTTGTTAACTGCAGGTGTTAAGTTAGTAACACGGTTGTTCAGTGGAACTGGCTTCCCCGTTGACTTGGCTTGTGAGAAGGTCGCCAAAGGGGATCACATGACCCCGGGACATTGCAAATGTCATAGATACGAGTCAGTTGTCAAGCGTCTGAATTTTGATCACGTGACCATGGAGATGTTGCAAAAGTCGTAAGTGTGAAAAATGGTCATAGGCCCCTTTTTTCTGTGTCGTAACTTCAAACAGTCACTAAACGAATGACTGTTAAGTTGAGAGCTCTCTGTACTGACTTAGCTTGGCTTCTGGAAGCTCAGATGCTTGAAAGCCGAGGAAGGCCGGCTGCCTCCTTCAACCCCTTCCCCCTCCCCTCCCCTCCCCAGTGCCCATCCTCACCTGCTTTCTGGTATTCAAAGTGGTGCTTGATGTGATAGATCTTCAGACCATGGAGGTAGGTGCCTTCTTTGGGCGAGCCGTAGTGCAAGTAATAATGCATCATGTCGTAAATAATGTAGCCAATGATTCCTCCACACAGGATGGAGAGGCCAAATTCTCTAGGGAAAACCACAGGAGCAAGAAAGTAGAACAAGAAGAAGAGCAGGGAGGCTGGCACAGGTGGGAAGACCAGGCGGGAGCTGTCGAACGGGGACTGCAAGAGAGGACGGGGGAGAAAATGAGATCTCAGCAGAGAGAACTGTGGGTTTCTTAGCCTCTGCAGCTTGAAGCTGTGTGGACTTCAACTCCCAGCCATTCTGAGAGTTGGTCAGAATAACAGAGTTGGAAGGGTCTTCTACTCCAACCCTCTGCTTAAGCAGGAGACTCTAGTCTATCCCATTTCAGACAAGGGGCTGTCCAGCCTCTTCTTAAAAACTTCCAGTGATGGAGCACCCACAACTTCTGAAGGCAACACTCATTAATTGTTCTCACTGTCAGGTTTGGAGAACAGCTTGACTCCCTCTTCTTTGTGGCAACCCCTCAAATATTGGAACACTGCTATCACCCCTTCTCTTCATTAAACTAGACATCCCCAATTCCAGCAACCGTTCTTTGAATGTTTTAGCCTCCAGCCCCCTAATCATCTTTGTTGCTCTTTTTTTAAAAAAACGTTTTATTGATTTTCTAATTTTACATTTAAGTATTTAAAAAGCAACGTGGCGGCTGAGTTAATTGATAATTCAGTGACATATAGGTATCTTTAGTACGAACTACCACAAATATTTCCTCTCTTTTCCCCTTAGTATTTACTGTCTCGTGTTTAAACTAATACAATTCTTATTATATCAATTAAATAAAAATAACAGTCTTAAATTTATCAATAGTTTTTAGCTTATACATATTCTGGTTATTTTAACATTCAGTCTTTATAGACAATCAATGTCCTAATTAGTTTTTCCCAATTTTTAGTTTCCTATTAATATTTACATTTAACATATAACATTTATAATTTCCAAGTTTTAAGTAACCAAAGTTCCCTTTATCCTGCAAGCCAACATCTTGACTTTTTTGACCCCTCCCCAGTGAACACTCCGGCACTCGTCTCTAATAACCTTGAAGCCAAAATTGTGACAAATAGGACTTCTTTTTGGATCTTAGTTTCTCTAAAATGGAAACTGGTCCTTTATCGCCCTCTTCCCACCCAGCTTAGGCCTCTGGATAAAATAGATGGGTGGAAAAGGTGCTGGCAGGTAGCACCTGCTACCGGGTGCTAGGAGAGAGGGGTGCACCCTGAAAAGAACAGCAAGTCCTGTAGACACCTACCCCCCCCCCAGGGGCCACTCGGTGTACCTTGCTCTTCCCATACAGGTAGAGAGGCAATTAATGGGAACAGTGACCCAGCCTCTGCCAAGCCCAGCCTTAAGTAATCTGAAGTAAACCTCAGGAACAGATTGGGAAAGAACAAGCTGAGGCTGTTGGGCAGAATTAATTGGGCAGCAATTTAATTGGGCACAGACCATCTTGAGACTCATCAAGTTGGCCGTGACTTTTCTACGGCTGGCAGTTTTACAGTTTTGGAAGTCCTCTCCAATGCGCAACACTGCTGGGCTAAGCCTCCCTTGGGGCTGCTGTCGAGCTGGGTTGCCTCACCAGATGTTGAGTCACCCCAAGCTGCCCCCACCCCAGTTGCCCAGCCCCCACCCCCTCCCTACCTTATGATGCTGGCCGTGCAACAGAAAATGCAAGGTAATCAGGTAGTACTTGCTGGCTGGATTCATGTGGAAGAGGAAGCGATGAATGAGATACTCCAGCAGGGACCAGATGAATATGCCCAGGAGACAGAGCAGCGGGAACCAGGACTTGTGAACAGGAATGGCATAGGCTATGCAGAGGGCAGAAAACAGGCAACAGGTGAGAGCGGGAACGGCCCCCTGAAGCAGAGCACGAACCAGTGAAGACTTATTTCCAACAACAGCCAGCCAGGCAGGGGTCTCGTCTAGGAAGTCCAGAAACAGGACATGAATGCAATGCTCTGCTTGCCCCAGCCTCCGATAGCCAGAGGTAGACTGCTCATAGTGAGGGAGGTTCAACTGAGCTACCACATGCCTCAAAGCAGTGGAGACACCCCTGTCTGCTTTGGCTCTGCTTCTAAACCCCAATCAGAGCCATTTGGTCTTCAAGGGGGCCTGACTGGGTTCTCCTTCAGTCTTAGGATTGAGTCCCACCATGCAGGGGCCTCAAAGCTCCATTGGGCCTTGTTCCATTCCCAGGACGAGAAGCAAAAATGCTGCTAAATGTATATTTGCTGCTGGGGATCAGAAAAGGCTGGTGTTTGGGGGCTTGGGAATCTGGGCCATCATTAAGCAGTTTCCAAGGCATGAGAGGAAAGGGAGGTGGGTGGCCCTCCTGACCCCTACTTTGCTCTCTGGGGTCTTTCTTGCTCCAATAGGGGGAAGCAGGGTGGAGGGCAGAGAGCAAAACCTTTGCTTCTCAATGTGGGAAATCAGGCAGGGCAACATAGAACATAGAGTAATAGACTGGAAGAGACCTTGGGGGTCTTCTAATCCAACCCCTGATCAAGAATGGAGATAGCAGAGGGCCTGGGAAGTAGCTCAACATGCTCTCCTCCTTACTCCAACCACTCTCACCCAGTTAAATTTTGGAACCCCTATTTGCAAATATCTAGGAGCCCGATGGCGCTGGATGCAGTTGGGAGTAGGCAAACAGCCAGTTTGGTCTAACAGTGAAGTCATTAGGCAGGAAACGGGGAGACGGTGAGTTCTAGTCCCGCCTTAGCCATGAAAGCTGGCTGAGTGACTTTGGGCCAATCGCCCAACTGCATCCAGCACCATCAGGCTCCTAGATATTTGCAAACAGGGACTCCAAAACTTACCGTTTCTCCATTCTTGGTCTACCACGTGTGGAGGGAGTTTTGTGTGGAAAAGGAGTTGGCCGGCACAGAAGCCTCACCTGATGTGAAGGAGGAAAACAGCTGGGTTTTCCCTTGGGCCAGAGTGGTGTAGCAGTGCCAGCCGAGGAAGAATATCACCGGTAGCCAGACTAGGCAGACAATGTACCTGGAAGAAAAACAAGGGTCAGACTAGTTTTTGATTTGGGACGCATCCTGCAATCCAATGAGGCTAAAGCAGCTTTTTCAGATTCTGCACTGGATCTGTACACAGAGAAACTGGCAGGACTTCTCCGAGTTTCTTTAGGGGGAGGAGACAGTCATACACGATTTCTCCAGGAGAAGATCCCCCCCCCCCAATAAGACCACCATGGCTGAAAAGGCCAAACGCAAAGCCTTCTCTCCTGGCCGTGGGATTTTCTGGAAGCCAAGGGGGCTGTTCACTACAGGAACTGCCAAGTTGGCTCATCAAAGAGTCCTGGAGCTCCACCCTCCATCCAGAAGAGGCTGTCAAAAAATTCCCCTCTCCTTTGGAAGGAAACCCACTTACAGCTGCTTGAAGGAAAAGTGGGAGAAAAAAGGCAGGAAAGTTTCTCTGCCCAGATCAGCTGTTGCTTTCCAGGCTTTGGGCCCCACCACTGTGAAAGATCTTGGTGTTTTTTTTTTCTCCCCTTCAATCACGTCTGATTCTAAGAGACTGCCCAGATAAGTCCCTGCGATTTTCTTGGCAAGATTTTTCAGAAGTGATTTGACTCAAGATCATCCAGCTGGCTTTGTGCCCAAAACAGGATTAGGAAATCAGAACTGTCACAGAAGGCGGCAGCACCAAGCCAACCTCAGCTGAGCTGGGAAACGCTAAACAGATTCAGAGCTTGAAGGGGAGACCAACAGGAGATCTCAAGACAACAAACAGGATTGGGAAGTAGGAAAAAAGCAGCCTGATGGGGTCCATGCAGTCCACAGAACCGAGCCTGCCTCTGCTCTCCCTATAACAGGGGTGGGGAACAAAGGCCTCTTTATGACTTGTAGACTTCAGCTTCCTGGTTGGCTCAGGAATTCTGGGAGTTCAAATGCACAAGTCATAAAAGGGCCCTGCCCTGAATGAAGCTAGGCCTTCCACCCTGAACCAGGACTAGTCTGTGTGCCGGAAGAACTTTTCCTGTACAATTCATCCCCAATCCAAACCATTACTAGGTCCTATTCAACAGCTAGGACTTGCTTTAAGAAAAAACACCTGCAATTCCAAGTGTGTGGCTGTAACACCTTTGATCTGATCCTCAAATCTGGGGACTGGAGGGGATCAGAGGGCTGGGCTGGGGGCTGCTGTAAAAGACGGGGGCTTAGCCCTCCTGAACACAGCTTGGGACCCTGCAAGCTCTCCCACAATTGCCCTGGAAGTTGTCATTTTTAATGAGGCACGAAGGGGGTGACTGTACAAAAGACGGGGTGCTCTCACACAAACCAAATTTCATTGAAAGTCAACTTTAACTAGACCCTGATCTCCAGTGATTCCCCACAATCAGGGCCACAGGATCAAAGTGATTGGTCTTCTTCTGGCTTTTTAAGAACTTCTGAGTTCTGGTGGTCGTCATCCAAATACCAGCCAAGGCCAAGTCTGCTTGGCAACTGAGATCAGCCATGGCCAGCTCAGTAGCCAAAAATGAGACTCACCTTTATAGCAATAGCAATAGCAACAGCACTTATATACCGCTTCACAGTGCTTTACAGCCCTCTCTAAGCGGTTTACAGAGTCAGCCTATGGCCCCCAACAATCTGGGTCCTCATTTTACTGACCTCAGAAAAACGGAAGTCTGAGTCAACCTTGAGCTGGTCAGGATCGAACTCCAGTGGGCAGTGAGTTTGCCTGCAATGCTGCATTCTTACCACTGCGCCACCACGGCTCTTTATCTTGGCCAGGCCTATTTTTTATTCCACTTCTGCTTTCTTGGGACACTGTTTGCACCACTGTGTCTTTGGCCTGCACCCACTGCACACTCCTGCCCCACCTTTGGCCCTTACCATGTTGTCTTGGAGAAGGACTCCATGATGTCCGACTGGAAGAGGCGAATGGGTCGATCCACCGGCTGGTGCACCCATTCGTTGTACTTCTCGCGCAGGTGGCCCACTTGCCAAAGGAGAGGCTTCCCCCAGTCCACCAAGTCCTGGAAGGAGAGATGTCCCAGCAAGAGCTTTACAACTGCTTTACAACAATAACAGTCAGAGTTATTCTGCATTGTCTCAACAATCAGAGTTATTCCGACAATCTCTCATGTCAGAAAATTTGATGAATGGCACCGCAAAAAAGCAGAATTGGTGGGATGCTAAATTCAGGCTTTGGAGGAGCTTCTAAAAATCCCATTTTTGTAGAAAGGTACAGATTTTCTAACAGTTAGACAATAAATAATTGATTTTTTCCCCTTTACTTATTATTTATTTGCTAAATTTATTTGCCCCCCATTTTGCTGTGGGGCTACTCTGGGTGGCTTGAATAACCACTTGAACCCTGAGAGTCTCAGCTTAAGGAAACTGGATTTTATTTAAATGAGTTTGCGGGCAAACATAAATTACACAATCTAACAATATATGGTCACTCTGTTACTCACACATATGAATACATATAATTAGCTTTGATTAGTATCTGAGACCGGTGTAGCAAGAAATAACCACCCCAAGTTATTAAGGCATTGAATTGCAAACCACTGATGGCTGCCAAATTGAGTTCTGTTTCCACGACGGGATGTATCCAGAGGGCCAACACATAATTTTTATTTCATTCTGCCTACAAATTAAGACAACCCAGATAAAGAAAGCTGAGGTATTCGAGACTCTTGCAATCTCAGCATCTGTTTGCTAACTCTGGAGAAACGGCCAGTGAGGTTCCCGTGAAGTCACCAAGAATGGCACTTCTCCTAGCGAGACACTTTCCCTTCCCCAGCTAAAGTGAGATTTATTCCACATTGCACATAAATTAAATAAAATTCCTAATTTGCAAGAAACTACAACTTAATGTAATGGAAAACACGCTGTTATTTGATCAAAAGGTATTTTTTTTGTGGGGGTGTCCTTCCCGCCTGTCGTTAGATTTGTACTTGGTCCCCTCCATCTGACTTACCCAAGAAAAATACCAGAACTAATTTTATCAAATTTGCAGATCAAATGACAGGGATGGTCTGCACAGGCCCAGCCCTGGGGCATTTGCTGGCTGAATCAGGATTGATCAGCTGTGCATTTATTTCCTCCCTGTTCATGTACTCTTTCCTCCTATTTAAATGGTGTGTCATTACTGTAAACTTTCCGGCGTGCCCTTGTGTCAGAGTTCGTTTTAAAGAGCAGAGTTGAGGTGGCTGTTTGCGCACACGACATATCGAGTGAGAAAGGGCTCATCTCATCCTCGTAAGATGCCATGCCCAGATAAAGCTCCCACTTCATTGGCACAGGAAAAATAACACAAAACTAGTTTCTCAATCCAGAGTGATAAAAATTGGTGTCTGTCAGATCTCTCCCCCGCTGCTTCAGGGACAGATGCTGTATTGTGTCATCAATAGGATCTGTGCTTTCTTCTGCCGACTCAAACTCACCTTCCTCCTCCGAATTTGTGTCCAGAGAGAGGTTGGTATGACAATCTGGCTGCTGTAATCTGTTTGAAGGCGGTTGCAGAATTCCAGGACCTGCCTCTCCTCCATTCCCCTCCCACACCTTCTCGTGGTGGCCTCTTTAGCCAACGCCCGTCAGTTGCTCTCTCCCGTCACCTGAATGTCTTGCTCCTGATATCACGTTTTGGGCAAAAGGCTTTTTATGGATTTCTAATGAGCAGCTGGATCACCCAGAGTGGCCCCGAGCAATCTTTCTGGAGCTAAAAGCCACGCTTGCTATTTTCAGGCAGACCTACGGGAAGAAGCACACCAATGGGGGTGTCCACAGATGGGTAGAATGACGAAACCAGCATTCCACTGTTGTGATTCAAGCTCTCTGTTTCTATACATTAAAAAAGATCTGTGGCTTTGCCTATTGCCATAAACAGGCTTTTGACTCAGTCAAATACGAAAGGTCTGAGGCTGGCTTTCCGGTATATCATCACCCACAAAGGGGAATGCTAGCTCCATCCTAGCAGTTCTTCTGTTATCTTGCTGCAGAGATTAAAAGATGATGGAGTGTCTTCAAGTAATGACTCAGAGTAGGAAGAGAAGGTCTCTGATTTGGCCAGATAATGCTCTCCAGTTTGATGATCCTGCTCCTCCTCTTTCTCCATGACCTTCCTTCCTCTAGGCTAGTCTATAATATGGCCAGTCTAGAGTATTTGAGGGGTTGCCACAAAGAAGAGGGGGTCAACTTATTTTCCAAAGCCCCTGAAAGCAGGACAAGAAAAAAATGGATGGAAACTAATTGAGGAGAGAAGCAACCTGGAATTAAGGAGAAACTTCCTAACAGTGAAGACAATTAACCAGTGGAACAGCCTGCCTCCAGAAGTTGTGGGTGCTCCATCACTGGAAGTTTTTAAGAAGAGACTGGACAGCCACTTGTCTGAAATGATATAGGGTCTCCTGCTTGAGCAGGGGGATAATAACAACAACAACAACTGAAATCAAGAAAAAGATTAGAGGTGAATACATCAAGAGAGTGAAGAAGATATTAAAGTCCAAACTCAATGGAGGAAATATCCTGAAGGCACTTTAATCTTTCTCACACCTTGAGATCGTGTTAACAGCTCTGCAGCTTGGTTTTCCGTCAACAATGGCATCCCGCCTTTATCTTTCTAGCAAGTCTCTTACCTTCTCTACATTGACTGATGCCAATCTTGGCTTCCCGGACATGACAGGGCCTGAGGCGTCTGACGTGGGGGAGTTCGGTGTCTTCGGGCAAGTCTGCAAGAAAAAGCATAGGAGAAACGGTTTAGGGGAAAGGCCTACTTCCTGGGAACCCATTCAGTCCATTTCTGTGGCTGTGATAGGACAACAGGCTTCACAGATTCCAGGCTGCCCAGTTCTATGTGACTGGCCTCAAAAAAAAAAGCCTCAGAGTCCCAAAGGTGCTTTTTTCAAGAGGCAACTGGACTTTCTTTGTTTTTCCTTGAAGACGGTTCGCTTCTCATCCAAGAAGCTTCTTTGGTTCTGCTGAAGAAGCTTCTTGGTTCGGAAGCGAAATGTCTTCAAGGAAAACCGTGACCCGGATGATGGAGAATCTCCATAGCATCGGAGTCCGGAACTTTTTCTCTTCAGTTGATTCTTTTAAATTCGGTCTTTGTATCTATGAAGAAAGGCTGCAGTGCAATTCAGTGGGTATCTCAGCCACATCCAGAAACAAACCAGTATACAGATTCATTAACCTGGTCTATGGAATGGTTTGCACAGATCTGAAGGCAAAGCCGTTCCACCAGTTGATTGTCCTCCCTGTGAGGAACTTTCTCCTGAATTCCAGGTTGCTTTTCTCCGATTAGTTTCCATCCATTGTTCCTTGTCCTGCCTTCAGGTGCTCTGGAAAATGGGTTGACCTCACCCCTCTTTTTTGTGGCAGCCACTCCAATACTAGAATGCTGCTATCCCTAGTCCTGCTTTTCTCCCAGTAGTGTTAAAGTCTAAAGGTGATGTTAGTTTTGGTTTCCTGCTCTGGATTACCCTGAAGGGCTACAAAGTGGATAGAGTTTTCCAGAGAGAAGGAACATCTGAAGGCGTCTCTGTACTGAGAGGGAGAGTAATAACAAGACACACCACCTGGCAGCCTTGCCCAGAAGGAAACAGAGATGTTCCTCCCCTCCCTGGCCTTCTACATGGTTCAGATTCTTCACCTTCAGCACTTTGACCTTGAGGAGGAAATGAATCCCTCAAAAGGCTTCATTCCAAGTTTACGAGATGGATCCACTTTTGTGACCCTCTGTCAAGCAAAAACAATAGGGAAGCCAGATTCACTTAACAACCAGGTTACTAACTTAACAAGTGCAGTGATTCACTTAATAACTGTGGCAAGAAAGGTCATAAAATGGGGCAAAAACGGAATTGTGGACGTAAGTCGAGGACTACCTGTACTCTGGGCTGGTCTTAAATGAGCCTGGAGCATTTGAGGCTGAATGTACGGTAGGAACTCAACGATGGTCTTGGCCTGTTGGAAGAACCAGGCCAACATTTTAAGCCATCACAGGGCTCATTTGCTTGACTGTGGAACTCAGCAACTATGGTTTATTAACCTGGCTTTATTATGCAACAGAAATTCAGTCAGCATTTATGCAGGGGAAGACAACAATGCGCCATTGATTGTGGCTGATTCTGCGAATTGCAAAAGCAATGACAAAGGACTAAGGCAAGCATTTATTCCCAATCCTACACAGAAGAATGAGAGGGAGGGGACCTGCCACCCATAATCACAATAAGGCCTTCAGTGTTCGGGAGGGCAGCCTTTGAATTTCAGGTCAGTACATTTCAGTCTCCCCATGCATCATACCGCAAGGTCTGGCTTCTTCCTTAAATGTCTTATCTGGCAATGAAGTGCCTAGACTAGAATGCAGCCGAGCGAGTAGGTCGGGATGGCTGGGCACGTCGGCCACCTTCCTCCTCATTGAGAAAATGAATTTTGGAGGAAAAATTTTACAAGCTCTTGGTGTTATTTATCAAAAACAAACGGCACAACTTATAGTCAATGGGGGTTTGTCAGAGGTTTTTACAATAGAAAAAGGGACTAGACAGGGATGTCCATTGTCACCACTGCTGTTTGTTTTAACTTTGGAAATAATGCTGATTAAAATTCGAGAATCACAGCAAATAAAAGGAATAGAAGTCAATAAAAAAGAATATAAATTAAGAGCCTTTGCAGATGACTTGGTGGTTACCTTATCACAACCTATTCATTCTGTAGTAGAGTTATTACAATTGATACATCAATATGGATGGGTTTCGGGTTTTAAAATTAACAATAATAAGACTAAAATATTATCCAAAAATATGACCAATCTTGATAAGCAGACTTTGGTTAATTTGACAGATTTTGAGGTTGTTGATAAGGTAAAATATTTGGGGGTTACTTTATCTGTCTCTAATGCAAAACTGTATAAAAATAATTATGAAAAGCTGTGGGTCAAGATACAAAGAGATCTGAAAAATTGGGAGAAGTTGCAATTATCTCTTCTGGGAAGAATTGCGGCGATTAAAATGAATGTTCTGCCAAAGTTTCTTTTTTTATTTCAAATGATACCTATTTTAAAGAACGAGGTTAATTTAAATGAATGGCAGAAAGGTATCAACAAATTTATCTGGGCAGGGAAAAAACCAAGAGTAAAACTTAAAATTATACAAGATACTCGTGAGAGAGGTGGACTCAAGGTACCGAACTTGAAATTGTATTATGATGCTGTGGTTTTAACATTAATTAGTGATTGGGTTAACTTAACAAATGTAGAAATACTCCTCTTGGAGGGTTGGGATTTACTTTTTGGATGGCATGCCTATTTAATTTTTAATAAAAAAGTTGACAGGGTTTTTAAATCTCATAAGGATTTCTTTACTTCGGGTCTGGAGGAAATATTATAGAACTGATTCTAAAATTCCATTATGGGCCATACCATGGCATGCGATAGAGGGGATAAGGAGAGGAATTAAGATGGATAATATTTCTTATGCACAATTACTTAGATGGGATGGTAAAAATTGGCAGTTAAAGCTTTGGAAGATTTAGCACAAGAAAATATTATATATTCATGGTTTCAGTACAGACAAATTGTGGATAGATGGAAGGTAGATTGTAATGTGGGTTTGCTTAGAGAAGATGAGAATTTTTTTAAACAAGTAAAAGATCAAAGACGAACTCACATTAAGAGAATTTATGGGGTGTTAGTAGAATTGGATTCAGAAGCAGAATTAGTTAAAGAATGTATGATTAAATGGGCACAAAATTTTGGTGAACCAGTTTTATTAGATACTTGGGAAACTATTTGGGTGAGAAATGTTAAATTTACACAAGCCCAGAATTTAAGGGAGAATTTTTATAAAATGTTTTACAGATGGCACCTTGATCCACAAAAAATGTCTCGTATGTATCCTGACTTACAGCCTAAATGTTGGAGATGTGGATGTTTGAATGCTACTTACTATCATATCTGGTGGTCGTGTAAAAATATAAAAGCCTTTTGGATTAAGATATGGTGGAATATTCAAAGAATTTTTAGAAGGAGGGTAAAATTTACCCCACAATTGTTTTTGTTAGGTATCGTTACTGATTGTGATACTAAGGAGATTATATTGATGTTAAATTTAATTACAGCCGCAAGGTTGTTAGTAGGGCAATGTTGGAAGAAGGAATCTTTGCCTACTTTGCAAGAGTGGTTTCTCAAAGTTTCTCATTTGGCGGAAATAGCAAAGATTTCGGCTTTTTTGAAGGATCAATCGCAAGAGACATATGTTGCGGTATGGAAAAAATGGATAGATTTTATACAACATAAGTTGGATATAAAAAATATTATTTAGTTTTTTAACAATTTATATTTAAAATGGAATATTTTGGGTTTTTTTTCTTCTTTTTGTTCTTCTTTTTTCCTTTTTTTTATTCTTTTTCTTTCTAAACATTTATTTTTTGTATTCATGTTTTTTTATATATATACTATTGTTAATTATTTTATAATTTTTCTAATTAATGTATTTAGATTTCTAACTAATGTTAGATTCATTTATGGTTTATATCTTTTTTTAAGATTTTTTGATGACATTTTAATTAAGCCTATATTCAGCTCTGGGAAGGTTGGGGGAGGGAATGGGAGGGTTGGGGAGGTTGGGGGGAAGATTGTTTTGTTTTTGTAAAATCTTAAAATTTAATAAAAATTATCTTTGAAAAAAAAAAAAAGAAGAGACTGGACAGCCACTTGTCTGAAATGGTATAGGGCAGGGGTAGGCCACCTTGGTTCTTTTATGACTCATGGACTTCAACTCCCAGAATTCCTGATCCAGCATGGCTCAGCTTGGAAACCTTTCCCCTCAGCATGGCTGGCTCAGGAATTCTGGGAGTTGAAGTCCACGAGTCATAAAAGAGCCAAGGTTGCCTATCCCTGGTATAGGGTCTCCTGCTTGAGCAGGGGGTCGGACTAGAAGACCTCCAAGGTCCCTTCCAGCACCAGGTTTCTATGATTTTTGCTGTTTTAAATTTGGGGACTGGTTCTGCAGTCTTTTAAATTTGAAAGGTTTTTTTGGGGGGGAGGGGGGTAATTTTAAAACAATTTAACTGGTCCTTAAGAGCCCGACCGCTCCAGTTGTTAAGGCACTCAATCAGAAATATGAGCCTGGTTTCTTGCAGCTATCTTATGCACGGGAGTCAGCTGCCCGACTCTGGGCCAAAGAAGGTCACAATGGGAATCCACTCCCAAAAGGCTCCCAAGAAAACCACAGGGACCCGTCCTTGCAGCTCGGTGCTTCTCAAGCTGTGCAACTTAAGAGATGGGAGGGCTTCAACTCCCAGAATTCCAGCATAGCTGAGAATGCTGGGAGTTGAAGTCCACCCATCTTCAAGTTGCCAAGCTTGAGAAACAGCGGTGTAGTTGTTAGGAGCTCTGTCCCAACCCTCTGTGCTGACCACCGAATAAGGGGTGAGAAAGGAAGCCTGCCGCGTTGGTCAGCCTCTGCCAAGGGCAGGAGAAAGTCAGCCTCCAAGAAGGAAACTTTGCAAGCACAACAGCGAGGAGCAGCAGCTTGTGCTGGAGGCAGACAAGCCGCCCCTTTGGTGCCAGGCGGCAATTGTGCGCTTGAGATGCCTCGTCAACTGGCTCTAGATTTGCAGCACCGCTGGCATTTCAAAGGAAGGAGAATAAAAACCCGTTTGTTGAGTTCAGCCGGTTGCTGGGAACTGGCTGGACTTGTTCTGCCACAGCAGGGACAGGGGGAGATGGGGGATTCCAGAGAGGGCACAGAGAAGAAGAAGAAGAAGAAGAAGAGGAGGGGAAAGGTGCTGGTTACGCACAGGTCGTGTGGCCAACTACGTGAAAAGTGGCACTCGCTGACAAGCAGGTTCCCTGCATCTTCACCAGGAGAGCAGGGGATGGGAGGCTCATAGCAGTCTTCCAGCCCCAACCTTTTGGGCACCAGGGACCAGTGCCATGGAGAAAGGTTTTTCCATGGACCAGAGGGGGTGTGTTTTTGAATACTGCCTGCATCCTGAGGATGGAACTTTGCTTGTTTGTGCGGCCCGCTTGCTGGCATGCTGCGGACCGGTACCCTCCACGGACTGGGGGTCGGGGACCTCTGTTCTAGCCTAACCCCCTGCATGAGCAGGAAACCCTATACCATGCCTAACAAATGGTTGTCCACTGAAAACCTCCAGCGATGAAGCACCCACAACTTCTGGAGGCAAGCCATTCCACTGGTTAATTGTTCTCACTGCCAAGATTTTTCTCCTTAGTTCTAGTTGGTGTCTCCCTCTGAGCTTCCACCTGTTACTTCTTTTCCTGCCTGCTGGTGCTTTGGAGAATTTGTGGCAGCCCCTCAAATATTGGAAGACGGCTATCATGTCCCCTCTAATCCTTCTCTTTGTTGGACTAGATCAGGGGTAGGCCATCTTGGCTCTTTTATGACCCGTGGACTTCAACTCCCAGAATACCCGAGCCAGCCATGCTGAGGGGAAAGGGAGAGGCTTTCAAGTTGAGCCCTGCTGGCTCAGGAATTCTGGGAGTTGAAGTCCACGAGTCATAAAAGAGCCAAAGTTGCCCACCCCTTGACTAGATAAGCTGAATTGGCCAAGGGCCCCAGGATGGCCCCACATAACTACAACCACCTTTAGTTATTCAATTCCAGATGTTGGTCCTCCTCCTCCTCCTCCTCCTCCTCCTCCTCCTCCTCCTCCCACACCTCAGCTCATTTCTGGCAGCATGCCTGCTGTTCATCCAAAAAAACAGCTCCACAATCAGGAGCCCTCTAGATATGTGGCAGCCACAATTGCAAAGATGTTGAGCCAGACCGAGTTCTTTAAGAGGATGTCAGGTTGGGATAGCAGTTAGGTTGATCAACAAGAAATGCCAACCACACGAGCTGGTCTTTCTCCATGGAAAGCTGGAGAACTCACCACAGAAACCTGCCTTGGCCTGCTCTTGGTTTCACCACATACCCATCTGTGAGGTCACAAGACAAGAAGTTGTGTCACAGGATTAGAAGTAAGAGATGGAAGCTCAGATGGAGACACCAAAGCCCAACAGTCAGCAACCATTGGAAACTTACCCAATCTGCTGGGAACTCATATCTAGGAGTAAGGGGAAATTTTAACAGAGGGAGAGCCAGATGTGTCATTTTCAGTTTTACATATTAAGGCAAGGTATAAACCCAGCAAGCAAATGAACAAGCTGCTTTCCCATGGTGGTGATTAGAATGCAGTATTGCAGCTAACTCCTTGTTCACTGCCAGGAGTTCAATCCTGACCGGCTCAAGGTGGACTCAGCCTTCCATCCTTCCGAGGTTGGTAAAAATGAGGGGATTGTTCAGGGGAGTCTGCTGACTCTGTAAACCACTTAGAGAGGGCTGCAAAGCACTGCGAAGTGGTACAGTATAATAGTCTGTTAGTGCTAGCTCACTGATTTTAGCCCTGATCTTAACCATTAGACCACATAGGGATTATATGACTGTGACTTGTGCCAAACCTCTGTGGCAATGTGATTCTTTCAACCCAGAAGCTCACTCTTCCTGGCATGCTGCTTTTCCCTTCCTCCCATGCAGAATTAATCCTAACTGCAGAGGAGGAAGATGGCACGGAAAAGCCATCCAGCAGTCGTGTGTCCAACTTCCACTAGCCTGGAGCCTCCCCATTACCTTTGGAGAAAGTCTCAACTGGGCCTGATGTTACCGTCTTTTCTAAATGAAAGTCATTGTAAAAATCTCTGTCACTGTTCCTGTGCCAATGGGAGCTGATGGAACAGGAAAAAACAACACAGCATTCCTAGTATAGGTCAACATCTAGGCCAGGGGTAGGCAACTTTGGCTCTTTTATGACTGGTGGACTTCAACTCCCAGAATTCCTGAGCCAGCATGGCTCAGCTTGGAAACCTCTCCCTTTGCCCTCAGCAGGGCTCAACAAATCTCAAAAAAAACAAAAAACAAAAAAAAACCCTGAGAGCCCGTTTGGTCCAGTGGTTAAGGCACCAGCTAGAAACAGGGAGACCGTGAGTTCTAGTCACACCTTAGGCATGAACACCAGCTGGGTGACTTTGGGCCAATCACCAGGAGACGGTGAGTTCTAGTCCTGCCTTAGGCTTGAAAGCCAGCTGAGTAACCCCACAGGGTTGGTGTTGTGGGGCAAGTAGGAGGAGGAAGGTATACGGGATATATTTGCCATCTTGAATTATTTGTACAAATAATGAAGGCAAGATATATATAAGTCGTTGGGAAAGCTTATATGCAACCGCTAAGCTTATATGCGGTTGCATATAAGCTTTCCCAACGACTACCGTTTACACACTGAGGAGGTCAAGAGCTCTTTTGACAAAAGCTAGGTTCAGTAAATAAAAATCTTTTATATTTTTATATTTTTATTCTCTTGGTGATCGACTATTTATTGATTTTAACATGTATATGGCTATGTATATGTATGTAGGTCTTTGGTTATTCGGGTTTTTCTCCCACGTAAAATTGGAAGTGTCTTGGCGACGTTTCGACGAAGTCTCATTCGTCATCTTCAGGCTGGTGCTTTTGGCTTCGTGCTCCTAGAAGCACGAAGCCGAAAGCACCAGCCTGAAGATGACGAATGAGACTTCGTCAAAACGTCGCCAAGACACTTCCAATTTTACGTGGGAGAAAACCCGAATAACCAAAGACCTACATACAAACACCCGCGAAAACCTCAGAAAACATATGTGTGTGTATATATATACACATACATACATACACACACACACACACACACACACATACATACACACATACACATACATACATACACATTGACATGCTAACCCAAGCAATTGCAGAGGAAGAAGGCAGACTCAAGGGCAGAAAAAAACACATCGTAAGGCAGGAGAGCTAAGAACTGGCAAGGGAGGCAGCGAGAAAGCTAATCATTAGTGAACCGAGTTTGCTGATTGCTGCCAGTGTCACGCACCACCCTTCCCATATTTGCTCTGGCATAGATCGGCCTCCACTCCACCCAGTCCTACCTTTTACCTGAACCCTTAAGAAATCAACTCTGAACTAACTAGATACACGATCAACTCCGATACATCCCTCAGCCTGAAGCGGGAGCATATATTATTGTGGCCGTGCCTGTGTGATACATGCAGGTTAGACAGCCAAGTCAAAAGAATATGTCAGGAGAAGCCACAGAAAGCCACGTGCATGATGCCACCACCAAGACACTGGCAATGCACTAAGAATCGAAGTGAAGGTAATTTTGCTTTTTTTTCCCTTATTGTGCCATGTTTCATCCTCTCAAAATGACTCCAGCATCAATTTTCATGGACTACACCCATGCAACAGTTAAGTAAAATGTCACTCTTGGAAATATTTGCTGCTCTACCTATCTACTGATGAATCTATCCTTGATATTGTGGCTTGAGAGCGTGTGTGGCCATGCATAAAACAAGCCTTGGGTACAATGCTCATATCCTTTCACTGAAATGCAACATGATAAGAATTGCAGATTTTGCAAGGACCGTTTTTAGTTGTTCTTCTGTCATCATAATCTTTCACTGCTTTTACTGCAACTTTCTATCTTCTCTCTCGTTTGCAGCTAAGGAAGGAGCAGAAAAGTCACCACCACCAACTCCAAATTAACTGGAGTTTTCTTTCATCCCAGCCTCCAGCACAAGCTTCATGGCCAAAACTGGCTCAGTGCCCAATGAAGCTCCCCAGAAAATAGAAACCCTGGGGGGGGGCACCCCAGTGCATCAGCGGAGCCCGTTTAGAAAAAAACAGAACTTAACAGCTGTGGTTGCCTGGACCCCTTTGAACTGCTGCTGGGGCTGAAATGGAGAACCCTTGAAATAAATGCTCACCTACTATGGCCCTCAGGATAAGCTCTCCAAATTGTACAGGCACCACACCCAGCACCCATTGTGCACAGCCAATCCTAACTGGGGGTAATGGAATCTGGAGTTTTTTCTCGTTTGGAGAGTGCTTCTCAGCAGCTCAAGGTTGACTCAGCCTTCCATCCTTTTGAAGGGGGTAAAATGAGGACCCAGATTGTGTGGGGGAGGGGCAAATGCTAACTCAGTAAAGCACTGTGAAGCGTATATAAGTCTAAGCCTCTAAGGGCTGTTCCAATTGCTTCCAGGCTATCATTCCCCAGAGAGCAGCTATTCAAGCATCTGCTTTGGTTAATTATGGCTCTGAGTTCAAGAAGCGCCCTAGCCGTGCTGGAGGGAGCATGGGACCCTCCCGAAGCGGGTGGCGCCTGCCAGCCGTGGACTTCCAGAATTCCCCGGGCATCTTGGCCCGCTCAGAGAAGGCTGCCAGATGAAGTCCGAGCTCCCACAAGGGCCCGCCTAGGAAAGACCGAAGCGGCGGCTCGGGAGCGGGATGCGGGCGCAGCGGCCCGTCGTCGCCACCAACCTCGGGCCGGGCCGGGCTGGAGGATGGAGAGGCAGCCCGGCTCTTTCGGCCGCGCGTCTTCCGCCGCTCGCGGCCGTTTTCAGCTTCCGCGCCTTCCAGGCTCGGCACTGCGTCGGCCCCGCGAAGGAGAGCCCGCCGCCTCGGCCGAGCATCCCGCCGGGAGGCTGCAGCCGCCCCGGGGGAGCCCGCGTGGCCCTCGCCCGCCGCCCCTGACCTCCTCGGCTTCCCCGTCGGGCTCCAGCTCGCCCAGGTAGTACTGCTGGAGCCAGCGGCGCGCGTTGGCCGAGTGCCGGTGCGGCGGGCCGTCCAGCGCGTCGCTCACGTCGGTGCCGGCCCGCTCCAGCAGCAGCCGCGGCCCGCCCGGGTGGAGGGGCGCGAAGGCGCTGAGGTCGTAGACGCTGCGGCCGGTCAGCACCAGGCAGGCGCCCTGGGCGCAGCGGGCGCGCAGCTCAGCGCGGCTGAAGGAGCCGGTCGTCGTCGGGGCAGCCATAGCGGAGCGTCTGGCGGGGCTGGGCGCGCTGCACGGGCACCTGATGCCCTCATGCAGGCCAACCCGCCTCGCCCTCGCCGGTGCCGCCCCTCCGCCCAGGCAGCGCGCCCGGGCCCGCCCCGCCCTCCGGGCCAGCAGGCGCGGAGAGGGGGCCCCTGAGCGCGCGCAGAGTGCCGCTTCCCCCGGCGGGCAAGACCCCGCGAGGCGGACCCGGCCGACCCTCCTGAGCCGGAGCGGACCGTCCCCGCAGACGCGCTGTCTCCTTCGCACGACCCGCGCGCGGCTGGCCGGGTCGGGCAGAGGGACGAGGCGGCGTAGCGGACCTGCCAAGCGGACGGGAAGCCACGGCCTCGGCGGGCCTGCGACTGCCCCGATGCAGCGAGGAGCGGTCCGCAGAGCGCCGGGAGCCTCCCGCCTCGTAATCTTCCCGGCGCGAAAATCTCGCTTCCCCGGGAAGACCTCCTGCGCATCGCCCCAGGAGACTCTCCGCCCGCCCCGCTCAGCGGAGCCTGAGAACCAGCCCGGTCCAGCGGGAGGACACGGGAGTAGGAGCCTCGGTTTACAACAGTTCATTTAGTGACCATTCAAAGTTACAAGGGCACTGGAAAAAGTGACTTAAGCCTGTTTTTCACACATGACCATTATTAAAAACCAGTACGTACTAGAATAGTAAAACAATGGATAACAAATTATAATAAAGTTTTGCCAGAAATTGGCAAAAAAACCATTGCCGATTGCAGTCATGTGACCCCAGGAGTCAGAAGTGGACGGTTTGTGCTTTACTGACTGTTAACGGTGGTTAAATTACCAGTCATAAGTCAAGGACTTCTTATACTCAAGAATGGGCAAAGAGATACAGGTAGTCCTTGACTTATGACAACTCATTTAGTGACCATTCATTACAACAGCAGTGAAGAAAGTGACTTATGACCGTTTTCCACACGACCATTGCAGCCTCTCCATGGGCACATATTCAAAAGTCAGATGCTTGGCAACTGATTCATATTTATGACAGTTGCAGTGTCCCGGGGTCATGTGATCCCCTTTTGTGACCTGACAAGCAAAGTCAATGGGGGAAGCCAGGTCCACTTAACGACCATGTTACTAATTTAACAACTGCACTGATTCACTTAACAACCGGGGCAAGAAAAGTTGTAAAATGGGGCAAACTCACTTAACAAATGTTTCTTTCACTTAGCAACTTAAATTTGGGGCTCCATTGTGGTCGTAAGTCAAGGTCTACTTGTACTCCCCAATGGTGTTGTGGTTAGGGGACAAAGGAGGAGGGACCGCTCTCTCTGCTTCCTTGAGATCCTGAATAAAAAACGAGCTACGTTTATATCCAATAAACAAACTTTGCCAGCCAAAAGGTAGAGGAGAGAATGAAATGGTTGAGGACAGAGGTCTTCAAACTTGGCCCTTTTATGACTTGTGGACTTCAACTCCCAGAATGCCTCAGCCAGGCATGCTCTTCTCCCCATTACCTGGGAAGTAATGGCCAAGTTCATGCTGGTCTTCTTCTCTGCTGAAATAATGACCCTCGAGAGGGAAAGTGCCAGGATGGTGGGGTCCTGCCCGCTTTTCAGTCGGGGAAATTCAAACTGTCAGGATAGTAACCTCAGTTGCAACAATCCAAACAGCATCCCCTTTTTACGTGCAATGCAAGTAACGATGCTATAGACAAATGTTGCCCAAAAAACGCTAACAAAAGGAATGGCAGATCAGATGTAGAGCAGACTTTGTTTGAGAAGATAAGTACTATCTATCTATCTATCTATCTATCTATCTATCTATCTATCTATCTATCTATCTATCTATCTATATCTATCTATCTATCTATCTATCTATCTATCCATCCCCCTCCCCACCCCAGTGCAGACCTTGCTTCAGGTCTCCTGCTGGGCTTTGAAGAGACCTCTGGTGGCTGCCCCAGCCATGCCAGGCTCTCTTCAAACACGTCCTGCATTGTCCTTTTTACTTCTGTCCCAAGCAGCAGAAAGGAATGGAATGTTCCTAAAGCAAGTCAGATCCAAACCTGTTTTATGATGGCCTGATGTGATATCCTAATTCCCACATCAGGTTTATAGCAATGGCCACCTTCTCAAGCATGCCTGACCAACCTTTTTTTATCTTCATCTAAAGTTCTGCGCACTCCATAGCAATCAATTGTGATAAGTTGTGAGCTCGACTGTAATTAATACTTTTATGCACACCACCCAGTGTCCATTTCTGCCCCTCCTTGCCCCATATTTTACAGAAATAGTATTTCATTTGTGGGACAAATTGTGGTCATCAGTAGGATTCAAGATAGGGTGACATGCATAGCAGTTGGGAACACCCCATTCAGCCTGCCCCACCTTTCCAGAGCAACAGGCAGAAATGCTACGGGGGGTGTGTGTGGAAAACCAGGCGTGTGGTGTCGCAGAAGCAGATAAATCTTCAGGAAAAGCTGCCACAGCACTTCCCGATTGTGGTTAAATTGTGCTTTTGATGTAGACTTGCTCACAATGCAGAAAGAGGCGACGCACAGCTCATTATGTTTGCCAAGCTGTAGATGTTTTAGAATGAGACCTGTGTTCATGTGACAAAAAAAAATCCACGAAAGTTGACACCTTTTAAGAAAGCTTGTTAATCGGAACAGATACTGCCAGACTCCTTCATTTCTCAAAACCAACTCTGGAGGGCAGTCATGACTGGTCTGTAAACACTGATCAACAATACGCTGCCTCATTTTGGCCAGTTCTGTGTAAAATGATGTGGTCCAAATAGGGCTTTCCGATGCAAAGCTTAAAAACAGAGGTTTATTGTCTAACAATTAAGAAATGTGGGTGTGATTTTCACATATATACCTTTGATAAGAAAAGGAGATGTTTCTGGGATTGGCTTCATCTGGAATTCACAGCCCAAGAGAATAATAGAGTTGGCAGGGACCTTGGAGGTCTTCTAGTCCAGCCCCCTGCTCAAGCAGGAGACAAGAAGCTGAGCATTTTCCAGGATTTTTACTGGTGTTGCATTTTTCCTCTCTGCCAATTTCTTCATTTTTTTGAAGGAGATGGAGAAAAATATCTTAAATTCAGGGCTGTCCTCCTTTTGGAGTAATACAATATATGAAAGTCCTGAAATCAAGTGTACCAACTTCACCTCTCTATACAGGTAGTCCTCAACTTACGACCACAATTGAGCCCAAAAATTCTGTTTCTAAGTGAGACATTTATTTTGCCCCATTTTACGACCGTCCTTACCACAGTTGTTAACTGAATCACTGCAGTTCTTAAGTTAGTAACACAATTGTTAAATGAAGCAGGTTTGTCTACTGACTTTGTCTGAAGGTGACAATTTAACAAAATATTTAATAAATGTTACATTACTGATTTTTTATTATACCAGTAGTTAAAAATCTGGTTGTTGCCTCTATAATTATAGGATTTTCATCAGCCAGTAAAATTTTGACATATTCTTCCTGGTTTGGATTTTAAAATAGGTCAGATAACTTCCTACCAAAGACTTACAAAATTCACCATGGCAGGACTTTTAAGTCTAAATTGAATTTATTCCTGCACTGTCTCTGACTTTTCCTTTAATGATTAATATGACCATCAAGCATGGTCAATACAATGTTGGAAAGATCCATAAGAGACTTTTTCTGCTGATCGCTGACAGCCAGACTGAAGGTGGTTAAGTTGAACAAGTAATAGTAAACAAAATAAAAAAACTTTCCTGAGCTTGCAAATGTGGCACCTAGAGTCACATCAAAGAAGATTTGTACATTCAATAAAAGTCAAATAAAACATTTTCCCATCACAATAGCAAGCCCACCAAATTAAACATGCCTATAGGCACGTTCACACACATACACCCTACAAAAGACACCTCCCCTCTTCTGCTACCAACTTCTGTACCTTAAACTGGGGTCTACCTTCAAGTGTTGACCTCATGTTCTTCTGACATCACAAAAGGTGCTTGTTTTTTTCTTCTCTCCCAAAAGGCAACTGGACTTTCTTTTGAAAACATTTCTCTTCTCATCCAAGAAGCTTCTTCAGTTTTAACTAACTGGTGGGGAATGGAAGGATTTGCGTTCTTTTCAGTCATTCGGTTGTTAGCTGTAAGACGCTAAGAAAAAGACACAGGCATGTCTTGAGCAGAGGTTTGAAGCTGCAGGACACAGCTTGACAAACTCTGAGTTTATTGCTTCTTATATACTTATTACATACACCAGCTTAACCATTAGATGCTGACAAAGGTTTCTTCATTGGAAAATGTCTTCATGTAAGCAGTTATTTTCTAGTAACACATTACATGGTCAAAGACCAGGTAAGAACAAATACAGGTAGATCAGAAGGAGAAAGAACTGACAAAGACAGGAAGAGATAGGAAGGAACTTAAGCATATTATCTGTTTAGGTAGTGAGCTATTAAGTCAAAAGTGGATGACCTTCTGGCTGCTTCATTAAGGCAAAGGGTATCAAAAGGTTATGAGGTTTGTGGGGGGGAAAGCACGGCAGTTTGCTGCGCGTGCATTTTCCCCCACAGTTAGCACTCAAAGAGTTTGAATGACAATCTTCATAAACATCCTTCCATCACAGTATAATAAAATATGACCCACCCTTTCAGGATCAGTACTATTACAGGGATAAAATCTTTGAGAAATTGGATTTTTTTAAAAAAATTATCATATGCAGGCAGTCCTTGATTTACAATCATTCATTTAGCAAGTGTTCAAAGTGACACCACTGAAAAATAGTTACTTATGACCAGTCCTCACACACTTAACCAATGTCATAGCATGTCCACAGCGATAACGATCAAAATTTGGTGCTAGATAATGTATTTATGACGGTTGCAACGTTCCGGGTCATGAGATGGTCATTTGCCATCTTCTCAGCCAGCTTCCAACCTGCAAAGTCAGTAGCAGAAGCCAGATTTACTTAATGACCACATGTAATTCATATAACAATTGCAGTAATTGGCTTATCAATTGTGTCCCAAAATTTGTAAAATCGGTTGTGACTCACTTAATAACTGCTTTGGGACCAGAATTTTGATCGTACGTTGAGGATTACCTGTG